TTTTTACTCTTCAGTTAAGCTTAAAAACTTATCCTCGTTATAGAATCTCAGTCTCTCCAGATGTAATGTGTTCGCCCACTTCGCCCACTAACTTGCCTGGTAGAGCAGGTGCCCCATGCACAAAGGCTGTGTCCGTGCCTCAGCAGCACAGGTTCAATTCCAACCCACGGCCCTTTGCTGCACGTCATTCCCCCTCTCTTGCTCCCTGTCATGTTACATCTGTCCTATCAAATAAAGGCAAAAAGCCCCAAGAAATATCATTTTAAAAACAACATTTCACCCCAAATAAACAGAATAAATGTGTTGATAAGTTCTAATTTAATTTTGCTAAATAAATAACCTTTATTTTTTCCAGCCTTTCTGCAGAACAAAGCATCCATTTTATGGTTTGCATTTAAAAAGTCCTGAACTCCCCAGTTAGCAGCAGTTACGGGCTGTAGTTAGTTTATTAAATGTGTGTTTGGTCTGCCTGCAGGGCTGAGGGAGACGACGGAGCAGCTGGTGAAGAAGAAGTTGGAGGGCAAAGACAACCTGACGCCCTGGGAGGAGTTCCTGCAGAAGAAGAAAGACAGAAAGAAGCAGAAGAAATCTCAAAGAAACAAGGTGAGCAGGACACATCAGCCGCACCAGAGACAGCGACAGGTGTATCTGGACTCTGAACTGTGTTCACCACTCAGTAAATACTGATCAAACAACATAATCTACTTCAGAAGCTTTTATTGAGCAGATGTTTTCAGTTCAGTCTCCCCCTCTGTAGTCTTATTAATTAGTTTTATATCTTCTCTTGTATCAGGGCGAGGATGACGAAGACCTCAGTGATGACGAGCTTCCTCCAGACGTGGATCTCAATGACCCCTTCTTCGCAGAGGAGCTCGCTGCTACAGGTGATCATTATTGTCACTGAATCAGTCAGTCAGCCTGTCATAGCAGGAGTTTGCAGGACAAGCTTGTGACTATTTTGATAATCAGTGAATCATTTCAGTCAATTTTCAAGGAAAAAGGTAAAATTTTACTGTTTCCAGCTTCTTAAATGTGAAAATTTGCTCCTTTTATTTGTCATTTACGATCGGAAATTAAGAGCTTTGGGGTTTTGGACTGTTGGACAGAAGGTTGAAGAGTTGGGCTGTGATAATTTTTCACACTTTTTTGACATTTCATAGACTAAATGATTAAATGATTAACCGTGATAATATTTGGTACATTAATCAGTAATGAAAATATTTGCGAGTTGCAGCCCTGGTGTGTCTTGAAGTGAGATGCTCGTACAGAGTAGTGTTTCATAATGTATTTTAGCATCAAGTTTTATGGGTGACATGGGGTGATTCATTTATATACAAACCCAAATTTTAATGGTCAGATATTCCTTTAATTTAATATGTCAGGGTTTGTTGATTTGTTTTGTACAAAAGGTTTTTTTATTTGTAGTGGTTGGTTCTGTAGACTCAACTCAACATTAAATTAAATGTATAGACAGTGTACTGTAGTTGTTTTGTCATATTAATCTCAAAATGGGACCAAACCCTGCATGTATGTAGCTTTGAGCATGGTAATTAATTCCTCACCTTTTATTTTCTTACTTAAAAATCTTTGACAGTTGGTACGGTAAGCAGGCCTTGTGAGTTTGGATTTTGTTTGGCAGCATGTAGACGCTCCGGAAGGTTCAGTGTGTTTTCTGATGTGTCTGCAGACATGAAGAAGAAACAGAAGGGGAAGAAGAAGAAGAAGCAACAGGAGGAAGAGGAGCGGACAGCTGAGGAGGATGAGGAGCTGGAGAAACAAAAGGTCAGATCAGTCCCAGCAGCTCCACATGTGGTCATCACATCTGTTGCCATGGAAACCTGTGGATCAGGGCCCGATCACACAGAAAGCACTTTAGCAGCTGGAGGCGGCTTTTTGTGACAGTTTTTAATGAGAGTGAAGCTTTTTGCTTTCTGTGCTTTAGTCCTCCTAAGTAAAACTTTACTCCATGAGTAAAAAAAATAATTCAATTCAGAGTGGAAAAGTGCCCCACATCATCTCCACTTTGTTCTCCATTGTCCAGTCAGACGATCTGAGAGGCGGGCCTTCTGTGGTGGTCATGACAACAAGTTTACAGTTGTTAAACAATGGGGAAGATGGGCCTCGTATTTAGGAACCTGCAAAACGCTTTCTGTGTGATCGTGGCGTCAGAGCGCCAGCCACATGATAAACATGTAACCCTGTGTTTGTGTGCGCAGGCGGAGATGGCTCTGCTCATGGAAGACGACGCCGACGAGGCCAAACACAAACACTTTAACTACGACAAGATCGTAGAGCAGCAGAACCTGAGCAAGAAGAAGAGGAAGAAGCTGCTGAAGAAGGGCGAGGAGCCGCTGGAGGGCGACGACTTCCAGGTCTGTTTAATGATACGATGTTTTGTCATGTTTGGGTTTGGACAGCTGGACCAGTGCTCCAAAAGTTTACTTAAAAAATAAATAAATAAAAAAAATCAGGGATCAGTTAACTCAAAATTATTGTATTCTCTTACCTGTTGTGACAATTAGTGCATTAATCAGCCATGACGATATTTTTGGTTTTGTCTGTCCCGCTTTTCAGATGTGTGTTAGATATCAGCTGATACCCCTGTGCAATGGATGTCAATGGGGTACTTTAACCAGCCCACATTTAGGTTTCATAAGCAGTATATAAATATTTAATAAATGGTTTATAACACAGTATAATGCAGTTTTAAACAGATTTAAATCTTAGTTAAGCACCTGTGTCCACAGTCTTTTCTTCTGAGCAGCCTCTTTCACTTGTTCCTAATGAGGAGAGAGCGTATGTGACCACATGCAGAGACACGTAGAGACTAAATCAAGGCCACAGAGAACCTCTTAACAAATACCACAGCAAGAGCTGAGTGATGTTTTGACAGAAATCAGAGGGGAGACAAAAGGTTTAATGCCAACTAGGATTGCACATACAAGGAGCCCCCTGCTGCGTTGTCTGATGTTGCCGTGCTTCAGCCAAAAAGTTGCACATGAACACACCGCGAACACTACATCTGACGATCGAACTTTCTGTGCCTGCGTGAGAGAAAGTAACTCTCCACACCCGCAGACGGTGGTCGTCTGTATTTCATTCAAAAAGGGAAACGGGAAGACTAGGCTATAGATTATTTTATTATATGAAATTTATATTGGTATATTGGTACTAGAATAATAAAATAATTTTCTTTTTCAGTTCACTGAATACATTTTGAAGAAAGAAACTTAATCTTTAAAACTTTCTCCTATTTGATAAAACAGATGCTGGAAAATTTTTCCTTGAACATAATTAACAGTTGAATAGGGTAGGTCAATAAATTTCTCATCACAATAATATCGTATTGTGACAAAAGTGTAATGATGATATCATATCATGGGGTCTCTGGTGATTCTCACCCAATATTTACCGTGTGCCAGTGAACAATAACTCAACCCATCAGGAAATGTTTCTGCTGAAGAGAAAAATAATCTGACTTTATGAAACAAGTTTGTTTTGGTCTCACTCCTTCTTGACTTTAGCTCTTTGTTTACTTTCCTCACTTTCATTCCTCTTCTCTTGCACTGAGCTGAACTGACAGACTGATTTCATTCACCACCGGGCTCCGCCATCAGCAATTCAACGTGCTGAATTGGCCGAAAAAAAGCCGACAGAGGCTGACGAGGGGCAACAATGCAGAACACCGCACCGACTAGGGCGCCAGTCATTCACCGACGGCCCAGTTTGGCTTGGTGTGTCTTTAAGATCAGGCTTTAAAATGCTAAGTCATGGAGTTCATGAATCTTTTTATTTCTGGCCATGTGTCGTAAAATCTCAGTCTATTTTTGCCTCTCACATTAATGTAACGCACATCAGGGTAGTGGAACAAAACTCACATTCAGTTCTGAGCCATGACGCTCAGAGCAGATGATCCACAGTCTGCTAGCGAGCTGTCCTTGTATCCTGGACAACAAGAGGAGGCGTAGGTTTAACAAAAACTGATTATTTAACCAACAGTTTGTAACATAGCTGAAACCAATTCAAGGCAATGCATCTGAGGCGTGGTGTATTTTATGCAAAAACTTTTTCATACTTGGCCTGATGGGAATCAAGATGGTGGAATCTCATATGCAGAGTGAGAAAGACAAAATTGCTAAGACAACTCGCAAACAAGCGCCGGGTATTTTACATTTTAACTTTTTACTAGACCTGAAAAAATGTTTTATGTCACAATAAACATTGATGTTTTTTCTTTTTTCTTATTTAATCATTTTTTGGTTATTGTAAAATTGGTTGTAAATTTTGGAGTGGCATTAAAAAAAGTCTTAAATCTTACTTGCACTAATCTGCAGAAATCATGATAAAATAGATCAAATACACAAGTATGGTGATTTCAATGTGTCCACATTGGTGTTATTATTTATATACTAACCCTCTGCTGTCTGTCTGTGTGTGCAGGTGGATGTTAAAGACCCTCGCTTCCAGGCCATGTTCACCTCCCACCTGTTCAACCTGGACCCGTCACACCCCAACTACAAGAAGACTAAAGCCACGCAGAGCATCCTGGCTGAGAAGCAGCGCAGACGAGCTGAGGAGCAGCGCCGCATGGAGGACATGCTCAGTGCTCAGAGGGACACGCCCACACAGAAGGAGCCCTCCGCAGTGGCTGGAAAGAAGCGGGAAAATGACTCTGACGCTGCAACAGTTGAGGACGCTTCAAAGAAATCGATGGACCCCGGTTTGTCTCTGCTCATCAAGTCCATTAAAAGCAAAACGGAGCAGTTTCAGGCTCGGAAGAAACAGAAGTTCATGTAAGTTTGACTTTCTGCAAACGTTTTTACAAGAAAACGGACTGAGACTCTGGATCCTCCTAAAATCACAGTCAACACTTTATCAGGTGAGTTTTACCTGATGACAAAGGATCTACTGTTTGTTTTTCATGTGTTTGTACAGCAAAAATACCATGAGATGAGAAATCATGTACATTTTTAGTAAAAACAAAATCCTGCTGCATCACATCCTGTTGAAACGTTTTATTTTTACACATAGAAAATCAGTTATGTAAAGACATTATTCACAATTCAGTTTTACAAATGTCTACAGTTATTCAAAAGTTAATGTAGATCATAACAGTGATAAATTGGGCCTTTTTATGTGCCGCGTTCGAGCGATTTTAAAAAAAAATTGGGCCATTCACCAGTGTTTTCGTACTTTATTGAATTTGCTCTTTGGTAAGAATCAGGTTCTCAAGTGGTGCAGAGCTGTCACACGAGTCATGTACAGATAATCTGCACGTCACTATCGGGGAAAGATTTATTTTTATATATTTTTTAGCGGCATATTTCGGCACATTGAATTCTCTCCGACGGCTGCCTTCGGGGTCTGTATGCACGTCTCAGTTCAGTATCATCCTCTCCAGTTCAACAACTCCAACAGAATGAGACATCCTCTCTCTAGCAGGTCGCGTCACATTAAATATAGAAGTTGTATTATTCCAACTTATCTTTTATTATTATTATTACATTAATAATGAGCTTTTAAATTTAATAAACAAAGTTTCAGTATTCAAATCAATTAGCTATGACTGTTATTACAGTGAGTTAGATACATAATCATAATCTGCAAATGTATGCTGAATCTGTCTGCAACGGGACAAGATTTTGGTATCAGGTGCATGCTGGCTTTCATCTGATGAGTATTGAAAGATCACCTTTGAGCAGGATTTCATAGCAAAATTACATTTTGTTTTACATTTACAGTACTAAAAAACAAGGAAGTGTTGGTTCCGGTATAGGTTCAAATTTTAACAGTACCCAACCTTAAATAGTCCATGTGGTAGGGCTGGGTACTGTTCACATTTGAACCAAACACTAACTTTGGCCAGTACTTTACTTTCTCTGTAATAGCACAAATGTAATTTCCAATGGGAAGGATTCTGCTCCACTGTTTTGAGTAACCGCCATCAGCTCCAGTCGGGACGTGGCTCACTGTCTCACCCAGAAGCACCTTGAGGTACTGAAACTTGATTAACGCGAATCAGTGCTCGTAACGTAATTCGGTTGGTACTCTTAAAAGTACAGAGTTAGCTACCTGACCCTACCGTGAGAACAACAAGAGGCGGAAAGTATGGCAGAAATGCAGTCCTTGAACCCGTCAGCAATTGTTTGACGACAACTCAGCAAGTTTGTTCCTAATTTATCTGCATTCATATGCAAATAACGGTTTACAGAGCATCATGAATCTGTATGTGGCCTCTCAACTTGCCAATTGGACTGTAAACAAAGACGAGCACACAGAGGAGGAAGCCTTGGATGTATAAAGAGATCTAGATACAGCGTTTAAGGCGGGGCCCCGTTCAATCCTATGAAAGTTTCTCAGTAGTGCATGAAGGCAAAAAATCTTTCATACTGTGGGGCCCACGGAGCAAGCGACCTAGAGATTTGCGGTGGCCGAGCGTCGCAGAGCTGCTAATGTCCGCCGTGCAGTGCTTTGCTAAATTGAATGGAGATACAATGATTTAATCGTGAGGCTCTTATAGATTTTCCAAATGTCCCCACATCCTCATAGTGAAACAAGTCTTTTTTTCAGGGGCTGTGCTCTCAAAAATTATATCTATTGATTTACAAAACGTCAGGTTAAGTCTATGGGAAAAGTCTTTTCGGCCCAATGGCATCAATAGCATAAAGCCCGGCGCACTTCCTGGGGGCCTGGTTGCACCCAGAGACTTATCGTTATCTCGCTGATAGCTGATTGGTTCAATGACTGACATTTAGGTTAATTAAAGAATCGCATCTGACTCTAAATCTGCAGATGTTCAGTTCTATAGGACTCAGTATCTTGATCCAGACATCCTGAACATTTCCTTTCTTTTTTTGTCGTCTGCAGCAGTAAAATGTACATTTTCAAATTGTTCCTGAAATATTCTGAGTCACAAAGCTCTCCCTGAAGACAAGTACTGACTGCTAAATAGATCTCTGACAGCTGGCTTGAAGTTTGCTGTGAGAAATTCCTGACTCTTTGTTCACATTTCGGTAACAGTTTTGTGGATAAAGCTCACAGAGCAGCATGGTTATGTGAACATTTCTCAGCCGTAGATGATGCTAATGATGTCTCACAAACGCACAGCGCCTCATGAAGAGGTGTTATTAATCAGGACTACATTCATTTACAGACTAAATGGCTGTTTGGGATTGGTCCTTAGATTTGACAGAAAGTACTGTGGTCACAACATCCTTAGAAACCTACAGTAAAACTTTAGTATCGTTACACACATGAACTCCTGATTAATGCTGCTAAAAAACAAAAGGCTTTTTTATATCTAAGTGGGGGTAGAGGAGCTGTGAACTACGGTGGCCTTTAAGTTCATGCTGCTACAGTGCAAATAATTTTCCATATGGCAGCAGGACTGCATGAAATATTTGTACCTTGTTTACAGAAAACAGTAACTGTCGTCTGCAGTCCTTCATCCCACAGCTCACCTCTCCTCCTGCCCATATTTACCTGTTTCACTTAAAGAATTAAAGCAGCATAAATCAGTGTTTTGATGAGCAACATAAAATCAAAGGCACTTAATCAGCTGCTGTTTGAAATATTTCTTCTATGCAAGTATTAACAGCTAAAGTGCAGCAGCATTCGCCCAGTGACAGATTGATTTAAAGGTTGAGTCTAATCTCTGGAGCCCCTTTCAGACTTAAACCTTTCACACTGCTGAGTTGATTTATCTGTTGAGTCACAGCTGTTTGAGCTTCATGCTGACTCTGTTTAAGTATTAGGACCAGTGTGTACTAATATGAACATAGTAATGCTTTCACAACATGCTGCCTTTGGCATTAGGTGAGAAACCTGTGTATGAGGTGACATGTTTACAGCAGCGTGACGCTAAAGGACGGGTTTATTACATTATCTACATGGCCCAGGTGTGATCAGTTACACTGCCAGTAATCATACACACGATAATGTTTTTACACAGCATGGCCACCGATAACAAAAGACCAGAACTTGATACTTTTATGAGCTCATTAATTAAAAGTGGTTTGAATTTGGTCTGGTGCTGAAAGGAAGAGCTGCCGATCTTTTGTGCCTTCCAGTGAGATAACAAGCTTAAAAAACAGGTTAACAGATTTTAAAGTCTGTCTTAAAGCAGCAGTCAGGTAAACATATGAACACCGGAGCAGCTTTTCCTTGCTGTAATCTGTCCTCCTGTTCATACTGGACATTAATTGATCTCTTTATTTCAGTGTAAGTAAAAAGGGACAAAATCGACAGTCCTCTTTCTCTGCAAAAAATGTATTCCAAAGTTTATCTGACACTTCAGGAGTCTGAATTAGACACTTAGACAAGTCTGTTTAGTATGAATTTTAATTCTGTTTTTTAACTACACAGAGAAAACGTCATACTTAACCTGTAAAGACATATTTGAAACTGCATGAGGAAGGGATCTGTTATTGTCCAAGAGAAATGGGAGGAATATTTACAACAAGCAAAACCTGTTCCAGTGTTCCTGTGTGCACCTGACTTATTTTATAATAATTTGAGGCTGTCCTTTAAGCTTGTTGTTTCATTGGCTGTAGTATCACCATACAATATTTTATGGATTCTTTAGAAGATACGATGTTTGCTAAATCTGCCACGATACGATTTTGATTCGGGCCTGCAATAGATATGAGATGATTGGTCAGAGAAGACGCTGCACAGAGTCCACATAGTGTCTTTTTTTTCCAGCAGAAAAGCACTGCAGTGCTGGGAGGACTTTATCCAAGCGCCTCATAAACAAACACTACTGCTGATTGTTTAAATGATGTGCTGCATGTGGGTTTTGTTTCTATGACAACAATATCTTGACACTAACATTAGCCAGTTAGCTAAAATAACGCTACACTAACAGAGGGTTGACTACACGGTCAACTTCAAGCTTACGAAGCCTATGGTGATAACAGCACAACCCTCACCAGCGACATGTAGTGTATGCCGCCGATCTGCTCCCACAAAATGACCTTTTCTATCTGTGTTGCGACAGTTAGAGATTTTCAACTTAAAGCGCTCGGAGCGGCTGCAAAAAAATGCGGAGGGCTCTGGAAAAAGACGCTGGGTGCGACGCCTTTTCTCCAGGCAGCTGCATACGCTTGCTCTTCATTGAGCACAATTGAAAAAGGACACTGGTGCGAAGACAAAAAACCCTTTAACCTACTTTAAATTGACTCCACTAAGACATAACGCATTGCTTTACAGATTTAACAAAAGTATAAAATTTGGCTTGCTAATAACTGTCAAAGTTCAGCTTTACATAAATTAGCCTAGCAGCTAGCAGAGTTTTCCTCTACTGACAGCCTAATGAATTCCATTTATTATTTCTACTTCTTACTCACTGTTGGTTTAAGTCACTGCATCCTGCGGCAGAACAGTGCGGTTTAATTCCAGCCTGTATGAGTATTTTAATCACATGGCAGCACTGTGTGCATATAGCATGATCTTCTGTTGACCCTCTTTTCTCCAAAATCCCCCAATGATTTATTCCTGAGAGGAAAGTAAATATCCTCATTGTCTTTGTCATGGCTGCTTGTCATTATCTGCCTGGCGTCATGTGTTAGTGACACAAACGCGCCTTTGGAATTTCACAATAAGGCATATCTTTGAGATGGTGATGTGGATCGGTGTTTTCACTTTACACTGGATCTTTTCACCCTTCTTGGACAGTAAAGAGAGACACCAGCTCTTGGTTTCCGAATCTGACCAAAGCAGCTCTGGTAGCCTGCAGACAACTGGTCTTTTGTAGTCGGTGGCCATACTGTGTAAATATCATGATCTTGTGTAAATGTAACTGATCACACCTGAGCTGTGCAGACGGTCTGAAGAAGGCAGATTACCGGTCATGTCTGAAAGGGGCTTTGAATCACAGCGACAGTCTTGAGTTGGCTCCTACGGTCCGGGGTATTCAAACACAGCAGCTGCTCCCATTCCAGTCCCGATGCACATGGACACGACGCCGTACGCCCTGCAGACAGGAAAACATGAGAGGAACAGTAAGACCAGTCACCTGATCACACTTTAAACTAGTCTCAAGTAGGGATGGGAATTGATAGGATTTTATTTATCAATGCCATTATTGATGCTGCTTATCGATCCGATACTTTATCGATTCCTCCTGTGAATTTTCTGTGTAGAAAAAGTAGACCTTACAGGTTTTCGGTGTCAACAACACAAATTTTATTGAGATACGGTGCTGCATAAATTGCACGTCATGCTGTAAGAGTTCTTTTTGGTGAAGTGAAGCCGCGCTTTTGACCGCTTCTGTCTCTGCGCCATTACGTCTTCTTTGTTGTTGAATGTGCTGCTGACTGACGAGTGCGACATCGACATTTAGATTTGGCGTAATGAAAAGAATCGTTAAGCATAAAGGCTAATGAGGTTAATGAATTGAACCAGTTGAAACCGGTTCTTAACAGGAACCGGTTCTCGATTCCCATCCCTAGTCTCAAGTGTTGGTAACAAATGATAATTATTGAAGCATCATTTGAGACGAACCTTCGGCCTCTGCGTTTGAGCTCGTTGAGGAGCGTCACCACCTGTCGAGCTCCGGTGCAGCCCAGAGGGTGACCCAGAGCGATGGCTCCTCCGTTAGGATTCACCTTCTCCAGCGGGATCCCCAGTTTCTCCACACAGTACACGGCCTGAGCAGCAGTAAAGGGTCAGTTCAAAACACACACACACACACAAATAAAAACTTACACTTAGACCAAGTGTTTTCTTTTTCCCACTGCAGAGACTTTTCCCTCCATCTTAAATCTCTCTTCAAACAGACCACAGACATCATGATGGTCTGTTTCTTTATTTTCAGTGGAAAATTCTCCAACAAAAACTGTCCAGAGTAACAAGGACACTGATGCTAAAGAGACCTACTGATGTGCAAAAAAACCCCATTGGGATGGAGGCAGAAATCTCAGATCTCAAACAAAAAGATTCAACCTCTGAGCAGGAAGTAGAGCTGCCCCTTGTTTTGTTGTGTTTTCTACAACTAAGCGACCAATGAAATCTTGCCAACTAATGTTTAGTTTACTATCAGGGGGCAGCCCTCGCAGGACGACAGTATGTTTTTGTCAGTGAAAGAAAAATGAAGCACATGTAGTGAGAAAATAAAGTGACATCTCCTCAACATGCAGAAACCAACCATCCACGACAGCTGGCAAAAAACGCTCCATCAACATCTGGCTCTGAACTCACCTGACTGGCAAAGGCCTCGTTGATTTCAAACACGTCGATATCAGCCACAGTGAGTCCTGAAGAGGGAAACAGGTTTGAGTTAGAGGAAGCCTTTTAGCCAAAAGATCATTTAAGTTTTACTGTAGTAGCTGTTGAGGTATTTTACTGCTGCACACTGACGTCCCTGCAGCCACACTGGCTGCACAGACATGCTCACATACTTGCCTGTGTACTTTGTACTCAGAGGATTAATTAGAAAATTCCCTGGTGGTCAAACCAACAATACAACATGTACTGTAAGAACTTGACGTGGTGACACTTGAGGAAGCAGTGGTGGAAGAAATATTCAGATTTTGTATTCAAAGATACACTGTGCAAGATGTGAGATTGAACCCACTCTCAGTGTGTGGTGGGGTTTTTATCTGCAGACTTTGCGCTCTGCTTGGATCTCTGCTTTTCTTATTTTGCTGTGTTTGGGACGTTCCACGGCACAGTGCGCAGGTGAGCTCTGGACTTTATAAAAAAGGTAACAACCAGGTAGTAGAAACAGGCACCCAAGAGGAAGCAACAAGAATCTGACACACTGGCCCTTTAAGTTAAAGTTATAGCCTCAAAATTTACTTTTACGTACCAAAAGAAAAATCCCTCATTATCTAATATCAGAATAAGATATGTTATTGGATTATAATTACTGATGAGTTTATGTGTCGATCACATTAATGTTGCAGCTGGTAAAGGCAGAGCTTATTTTAACTTTTATTTGTTGGTGATATTCTGTATAAAAAATATGAATCTGAGAAGTAATTACATTTGTCAATTGTAGTGAAGTAAAAAGCACAATATTTCCCTCTGAGATGAACAAGTATGAAGTAGCAGAAAATATAAAGGGCTCAAGTCAAGTACAGTGGGCGTGTCTTATTCTACAGGTGTGGAAGAGAGCGTGCAGTGATCTGATTAACAGCTGATCAGTGCTTGATTTTGGATTAACAAACATCTGTAATAACAGAACAAAAGTTTGCAGGTAATCAGTGCCATCCAACATCTTGATACTACCGTTTTACGACACCCTCCGTCGACCTCGAAGGGAAACGGTTCAAGAACCAGAGCTACTTTGGTGCAGAAGGTGCTAATGAGGAGGTTCATGTTCACACATCTTACCCGCCTGCTGCAGAGCTGCAGGGATGGCGAATGCTGGTCCAATCCCCATCAGATCTGGAGGAACACCCACCACTGCGCTGGCCCTCAGGACTCCTAGGACGGGCAGACCCAGAGCCTCGACCACAGACCTGCGACCAAGCAGCACGGCTGCTGCTCCGTCACTCACCTGGCTGGAGTTACCTGAGACAGAACACGTGTTTGTGTCAGTCAGTACGTTAACGTGCACAGTGCAGTGGAGCTACAGTTCCAGCTGGACTAGGACATTTAACTGGACTACTGTCTTTGTCCCAGTATACAAGCACGGGAGAGGAATCCATTTATTGATACAAGTATGTGCGACTCCTCTATGATAGGGCTGCAACTAACAATTATTTTCACTGTCGACTAATCTGTCAATTATTTCTTCGATTAGTCGACTAATCGTTTTATCAAAAAAAATGTGTTAAATTGTTGAAAAATGTCGGTCTGTCTCTCCCAAAGAGAGTCAGACTAACATGTTTATTTGTATTTTAAAAGTCTGGTTTTAGTCGCACTAACACAATAAATTTATTTTCTCTGAGTGACAGCTGAGAGAGGAACGAGTTCACCTGTTAGTGACATGACTGACCTGCTGTGGTGCTGCCGTCAGGTTTGAAGGCCGGCCGGAGTTTTTGCAGTCCTGCCAGAGTCGTTCCCGCTCTGATCCCATCATCCTTAGTGACCGTCACCTCACGCTCCTTCCCCTCGTCGTCCACAAACCTGGTGGTGACGGGAACGATCTCCTGGTCAAACACTCCTGTGCTCTGAGCCCGGGCCGCTCTGTGTGAAGGACGTCACACAACAACACATTAATACATTTGTTTAATTAAAGAAAATGTTCATTTCAAGATGCACAATATGCAGAGTGACACAGCACATACAGCAGACTGTCTGTGCTGTCAATCATGAGCAAACCATTTAAGAGAAGAATTAATAAAACTCCTTAATCTGTGCCAAACACTAACTGCTTGTTTTTTCCCATCATTTCTTTCCATCAATATTTATTGACAGGTTTTTGAGACATTTTTAACGACTATGAGACGAGCAAACTGGAAACCACTTCTTTCGCAGAGGTGTTAAGATAATTAATGTGTTAATTAATTAATAAATGCCTTCATGTCATCACACGCTGCAGTTATTAAAAACCTCTCAGAACGTTTAGCTGTTACATGTGTTTTAGGAAAATGTTTTTTTTTTCTCAAATGTACAAATTTATGAAGCAAAATGCATCAAAACCAAATATTTTACACGCCTACAGCAGGAGACTGTTGTGAGCACACAGATACGCAGACGGAGACACAACAACATAAAACACTTTGACTCACTTCTGCTGAGAACTGAGAGCGAAGGCGTCCTGCTTTTCTCTGGAGACGCCAAATTTCTCTGCCACGTTCTCTGAGGTGATGCTGCACAAACAAGGAACATAAACATGGACGGTTATTTCAGACGGATCAGATGCTGGTGTTGGTTTATTATATCTAATATTATAATTTTGGGTTGCCATAACAAGTGTCAGAATAATACATTTTGTAGTCTCAGTGGTAAAATTTGGAATTATGTCAAATATATTTTAGGGCTGTGTAAGTGTGGGAGTTCCATAACAAATTTCAAGATTAGGTCATATGGCACAAATTTAGGATTGTGAAAAATACATTTCTGGAGTGCTGTGACAAATTTTGGGATTCTAACAATGTTTAAGAGAAAATAACTGAGATTAACCCCAAATAGGGCTGTAAAACAAAAAAGGGATCTTGACTAGTACATTGTGGAAAAGCAAACAACGTTTGATAAAAACAATTACTGAATATGATCGCGGCACATTTTTGGGTGGGATAGCAAATGTTAGAATAACAAAGTTTGTGGTTTCAGTGGTAAATCTTAGATATGAAAACATCTTAGGGCTCTGGAGCTGTAGCTTTGGGAATTCTCTAAAAAATTATTAAAATTATTTTCAAAATTATACATTTTAAAAAGTTGGTTATGTGTGGCAAGAAGACACATTTGGGGGAAATAGGTTTTGTGGCATTCGGATGTTTTTGGATTATATTATAAAATATTTTGGGCCATATCACAAAATTTAAAATTACAGCCATTTGGAGGTTGAACAAAAATTGTGATTATAAAAAAACTCCCCCACAAAATATAACAAATTGTGCAAAATACAACAAATTTAGGGATTATCATCAATTTTAGGATTTGATTATACAAATTAAATTTTAGAGATCAATCAAACACAGTTTGACACATTGAAATAAGTTTTAAAATATAATCTGAAAACATCCAAATGCCACAAAACTTATTTCCTCAAAATTTGTCTTCTTACCAGCTGTAACCCACATTTTTTTTTTAAATTTATTATATCTTAAAACGTGTTACATAATTCCCAAAATTATAGAGCCCTAAAATGTATTTATAATGTCTCAAAATGTGTTGTTTGTGACCTCAGATACTCCCACAATTGGCACATTGTTCCCAAAATGGATTTTAGGATACCAAAATTAGTCGTAGCAACCTCATATTCTGTGACAATCACCACTGTGTCTCTCAAACTGTATTTTTTAAAATTCCAAATCTCTGTTACAGATCTCTAAAATTTTAATTTGTATAAATCATAAAAAAATTGAACACACATTAAAACACATTTCAACATTATTTGTATCCCTAACCCTGCTATAAGACACTAATCTGTTACACCAGTCCTGAAATGATTTTGTTATAACTCTTAATTTTATTTAACAGCCCTAGAATGTGTCTTTATACTTAGGGGTGCCCTAACTTTTGGAATTATAATCACAAAATTTGCTGTTAATCTCAAACTTGTTTTATCTTAAACTTGATGATAATCTATAAATTTGTTGCATCACTCTGAAAGCATGTTTTCTATAATAACAAATTTTGATTAATCTGTAAATGGCTGTAATTTTAAATTTCGTGATATGGCCCTAAAATGTTTTAAAATATAATCTAAAAACATCCAAATGCCACAAAACATTTTAGGGCCATATCATGAAATTTAAAATTACAGCCACTTGCAGATTAATCAAAATTTGGTATTATAGAAAACATGCTTTCAGAGCGATGCAACAAATTTAGGGATTATAATCAATTTTAGGATAAAACAACTTTAGCAAATTTTGGGATTATACTTATGGTTGTTGCAAATTTTGGGATAATAAAAATACATTTTAAGGATGTAAAACAAAATAAGGGATTATACCTATATATATATATATTTTTTTTTTAAATTAATTTTAGGGCTCTATAGCAAATCTTTGGAATTTTAAACAGAACAGTTTGAGAGTGTTGTAACACATTGGGGATTGTCACTAAATTTTAGGTTGCTATTATTAATTGTGGTTTCATAAAATACAATTTTGGAACAATATGACAGATTTTTAGTGATCTGGGGTCAAACAACAAATTTTGGGATTATGGAAGCACATTTTAGGGCTGTAAAACAAATTATGGCATTATAACAAAATCTTTTTCATGTTGGTGCAACAAACTTGGGGATTCTAGCAAGTCTGAGATAAAAACTATTGGAAATTACAATTTTTTGTGATAAATGTTGTAATGATATTAATTTGAGGGCTCCATAACAAAACTTTGGAATTTAAAAAAAAAAAAAGTTTGAGAGCATTATAACACATCGGGGTTTGTCACAAAGTTTAAGGTTGCTAAAACTAATTCTAGTAGCATAAAATCCATATTTGGAACAATGTGACAGATTTTGGGGGATTTAGAGGCACAAACAAACTGTGGGATTAAACCCCCTTAATTTAAATCCAGTGAGGCTCAGTCCTCGTCTTTGAGTTCTGACACAGTGTCGTGCAGTAGGTGGTCTCACCCCATTGGGATGAGGCAGTCTCGGGCCTTGTCGTTGTCCGTCAGCCTGGAGCTCAAATCTCCAGGGTCTCCCATCCCACGCAGAGACATGCTCTCCACTCTGACACACACACACACACACACACACACACACTTTACACTCTGTGAGAAACATTATTTTATTTGAACTGCATCACTTATTGTTGGGATGCTGAATAAACTCACCCACATGCGAGGCCCAGGTCAATGGATCTGCTCCTGATGGCTCCTGCACAAACAGGGTTGAGATCAGAGTGAACACACGGTACGTTAACATGTGATGAAGAGAGGAGTGAAGAGTTTGTACCTGCTATGTTAAACACAGCCTGCAGCCCGGAGGAGCACTGTCTGTTGACGGTGTAGACGGGCACCGTCTCTGGAAACCCACTGAAATGAAGACAGAGCAGTGAGACGTGCTGTGACTGAGTGAAGGAGGATGACCGTGTGAATCAGTGATGAAGAGTCTGACCTGAGGAAGTGAGCCACTCTGGCCATCACAGCACCGGCACCGGGCTGCAGCACGTTACCTGCAGACAGCAACACACAGCAGCGTGATTAAAATCTGTGTCAGGATGAAGAAACACTTCACAGTTACTTCAGGAATCTTACTGTGTGTTCTGTTTCTACTTCATTGATATTTGCATCATGAATTTGTTTCACAGCCAGTGGTGGAAGAATTGGTGGTTGTTGATGACTACAGTGTAAACATGCTGTTACAAGTAGAGCCTGACTGATACAGTGTTTGGCCTGTTGAATCTATCACAGATCAGTGTTGTTGTAAATGTCCTCTGAAGTGAAAACTGATCTTTTAACAGAACGTAATAAAGAAAAGTTGCTTGGTATAATTCAGAATTATTAAATAAAGTTTACTGTCTCAGTGCACTCATGTCCTAACAGACAGCTGCTGTAAATGATTGACATTGACAGATCAAATACTAAATGAGCAGCTTCACTTCATGAACATGACACGACGGGTCAAAGAACGACGGGTAGAACAAAAGTCACGTCTCACCGACACAAACGTCTCCCAGTTTGTCGGCTGACAGTCCAACATCTGTCAGCACAGCTGTCATGACTGCACTCAGCAGCTCGTCAGGCGTGGTGTCCTGCAGACACAAGGAAGTGTTAAATCACATCTGATCTCCCTGCAGCTCTCAGTCTGCAGCACCGAGCAGGGAGCACTCACAAGTACAACTATGTAAAAATACTCTTTACTATTAACATCCTGCGCGCTCTTAGTTCCAGCCCACTAATCATCCACTTCAAGCACACAGTCGTGTCACAGTTCTTTATTAAGAAATGTTCACATTTCAGCGTCTAGTCTGGTTTTTAAAGTGATTTAATTGCAGGTAAACAACAAAAATTAACCTTGTTACTCATTAAACAAAAGATAAACAAATGTGTGTATTCCAACTGAGGAAAAAGTTCGGACACCCTGACCCTCTAACAGCTAGTGATACCCACTTTGGCTGAAATAACTTCAGTGAGACGCTTCCTGTAGCCCTCTACCAGTCCCTGACATCGGCCTGAGGGAAGTCTGCCCCACTGCTCAACGCAGAATCCTCTCAGCTGTGAGATGTTTCCTGCCTGTGCAGCCCGTTTCAAGCCCCCCCACAGCATCTCAGTGAGATTAAGATCTGGGCTTTGGCTCAGTTCTCAGTCCTTGATGTATTAACTGGTATGTTCTGGCTCATTGCTCACATGTTGCAGAGTCCAGCTCTGCTTCAGCTCTAATATTTGTTTTTTAACAGATGGCCTCACATGTTCCTCAAGCACTCTCTGATACACGGTAGAGTTCATGGTGGATTCTATGATGGTGAGCTGACCCGGTCCTGCTGCAGCAAAGCATCCTCAAACCATGACACGTCCTCCATGTTTCACAGCTGGTGTGAGGTTCCTGTCCTGGAGTGCTGTGTTTGGTTCACGCCAAACATGCCTTCTGTTATGGTGTCCAGATAATTCAATCTTAGACTCATCTGTCTCTCATCATGTCTTTTGCAGATGATGTGGTTCTGTTGGCTCCATCACACCGTGACCTCCAGCATGACCTGGGGAGGTTTGAAGCCGAGTGTGAAGCAGTCGGGATGATAGTCAGCATCTCCAAGTCTGAGGCCATGGTTCTCTGTCAGAAACCAGTGGATTGCCCCCTCTGGGTCGGGGGAGAGTTACTGCCTCAAGCGAGGGGGTTCAAGTATCTCAGAGTCTGGTTCACGAGTGAGGGTAGAATGGAGCGTGAGAGGGATCGACGGGTCGGTGCGGCATCTGCAGTGATGGGGTGCTGCGTTGTGGTGAAGAGGGAGCTGAGCCAGAAAGCAAAGCTTTCGATTTCCTGGTCCATCTACGTCCCAACCCTCACCTATGGTCATGAGCTCTGGGTAGTGACTGAAAGAATGAGATCACTGATGCAAGCGGCTGAAATGAGTTTCCTCTGTAGGGTGTCTGTGCTCAGCCTTAGAGATTCCCACTGGTAGGAGGCCCCGGGGCAGACCCAGAACACACTGGAGGGATTATATACCTCATCTGGCCTGGGAACACCTTGGGGTCCTCCAGGAGGAGCTGGAAAGTGTTGCTGGGGAGAGGGACGTCTGGAGTGCTTTGCTCAGCCTGCTGCCCCTGCGACCTGGCCCTGGATAAGCAGGTGAAAATGGATGGATGGATGGATGGACTCATCTGTCAAAGACATTATCCCAGAAGCTCTGGTCTCTGTCTACGTTTCTCTGTCAAACTTGAGTCTGGCCTTCATGTTCCTCTCAGAGAGCAGAGGTTTCCTCTTTGCACACCTGCCATGAAAGTTAAACTTGTGCAGTCTCTGACTGTAGAGCCATGCACTGTCACATCAACAGTAGCAAGAGCCTGCTGAAGGTCCCATGATGACACTTCAGGGTTTTTGGACACTTCAGTTAGCACCTTGCGTTCTTCTCTCGGGGTGAACTTGATTGGACGTCCACACCTGTTCGTGTTGGCAGCTTGTTTGGCACTTGTAGACTATTTTCCGGACAGCAGAACGACTGATTTCAAATTCTTTTGAGATCTTTTTAAATCCCTCACCAGACTTATAAGCTGCTACGATCTTCTCTCTGACGGCCTCAGACAGCTCTTTCAATCTCACCATGGTGTTCACTCACTTCAAAAGTCAGCAGCACAGCAAACTAACTGTCTGAGGTTTAAATAGGACACGCCTCCTGTAACATGCTCAGTAACCGTGTTCTTATCATGTGTACCTGATGTGACACTACTGTGTGTTATTTTACCTTTTTAAAATTACATTTTAGTCTTTTCTTCAGTTTTAATTATTAATTACTTAAATCTCTCAGTATTGTTAAAATTGATATAAATATCCATATGTCTAAATATAGTTAAAACACACACACACACACACACACACACACACACAGGCTTTAATAGGGTGTACTAATTTTTTTCACATGTCATTGTCAGCTACATGTTTATAAAGTATCAGCAGTAACAGTACACAGGTATCCTCAGCATCATGTAGTCAAAGTACAAAAGTATCACCTGAGCATCAATCAATCATTAAATACATAAATAAGTGAATTGGTAAATAAATGCCTAAATAAATACAGGAATAAATAACAATATAATTACATGAATAAATAAATACATAAATGGCTAAATATGTGAATGAATGAGTTAATAAAGAAATGCTTAAATAAATAAATTAGTAAATAAATAGATAAATAAGTAAATGAATGAATTCATTAATAAATGCCTGAAGAAATACAGGAATAAATAAATATGTAAATCAATAAATGTCGTATGAATAAACAAATCTAAGTGTACAACAATGTAGAAATAAATTTGAGATATTTATGTCCTGCTAATTATCAATGTTCATTTATTCATTTGTGCATGTAAATATTTATTTTGAATTTTTTAATCTAGTTATTCTTTTATTTATTTATAATGTATTTGTTTAGTTACGTATTCCAAGTTATTCATTTATATCTGTATTTATTTATTCGTTCCCGCAGTTATTTATTACTTTATTTATTCCTGTATTAATTCATAAATATCTTAACTGAATTTTTAATTCTTAAACTGCTGATAATATTTACACACTTTAAGGTTTTAAACTGAGTGAATGAGTGCTGTCACAGTGTGGCATCAGTACTGTAACTAAAGTATCTGAGTACTTGTTCAGTGCAGGTGATGACTGTGTCACTGTATCACCTTCATCATGACATCATCACATTTCCAGCAGGTAAACGGACACAGTTACCTTAAAGGCTCCTCTCTTAGCTTTGCCCACAGCGCTCCTCCGTCCGTGAACAACCAGCACGTCCTCCGGGCCGCTGCTGCCCGCTGAGCCGCACTCCGTCCGCCACACATCCCGGCTGAGCCCGGAGGAGCCGGAAAAGCCGGAGGGACACAGGTGGCCCGAAATGATTTGTAATCTGTTCATAACGACGACAAAACACCAAAGTTACACAGCTGCAGGCGGCCTGTTTGATTTGTACTCTGCCCTCAGCTGTCAGGCTGCGTCACTTCCGTGTTGTTATAGTCAGGACGGAAAGCGCGGAGGGACAAACTACAGCGAGTTGAACGGCTCATCCACGTTCTTCTTCTTCTCCAGTTTGATCGCGTTAATAAAACTATTTTATTTTATTATTTAACTAGGCTACATTTTTTCTCATTCCTATTTATGTTATATTATCTTAAAATGTATTTATTATTATTGTATTTATACCATTATTTAATTAGTATTTTACATAATTTATTTTATTTTCTATTTTTCTATTATTATTATTTTTTTAAATTAATTTTGTTCTTGTTCATGGCATCCATCTGTGTAACATTACCGCCACCTACTGGATGTTGTCAGTTTTGCAGTGTATATATTAACAGTATCCACCCCACACATGGATGATAATGTCTGTATTAGTTTTTGTTTTAGGTTATTTTCTTTGATTGGCTATGTTTCATATTGTTGTTCCATACATGATGTTAAAATGATAATCTGTCAATGTTATCAAATTATATAAATTCACTTTTGCCACTTTTACAACAGTGATATTTAATTTATAAAAATCACGCATGCTTTTAAAATGTGCATTTATTTGTTATAGTCTGTTAAAAAGCAGTGCTGACATTGCACATTCATAGTGCTGTATGTTCCTGCCCTGTTTTACTGTATCATGTAAATTCTGTAAAGTAGTAAATAAAGTACTCTGATCTAATATTACACAACATCTCAAGATACTTTTTTTATTTGTGGGATTTGGGAAGAGTATCAAGTATTTTCAAGTCAAAAGACTCAAGTCCAGGTGAAGTCAGGAGTCACTGGTGTTAAAATCAAAGTTGATGTCCTCACCTCTGGTTAAATTCCACCACTACATGTTTCTGCTCAATATCACAGCTGCTCTTTTTATTTCTATCTTGCATGTATGCCATTTTTTTCAAAGGAATGTCTCCTTTAACCGCTCATATAATCAGTCATCTCTAAAAAAAAATATGAGTAATGACTCAGAATTAGATTTTCTGCAGGTGGAGAAGAAACTAAAACTTTTAACCCTGACCTTTGTTGCTCAATCACACAGAACTCAGACAAATCGACTGAACCTTTTATTTCCAAATTACTCACAACACATTCATAAGGCCACCAACTCACTGCACATTCTGGTTGGAATCAGATAACAGGAAACAAAGACATCCAAAAATATGTTTCTTCAATATAGAATCATATAAAACAGTTTTTTGTTCTCCTCCATTTTCAAAGAGAGTAGACGGAGGAGGAGAAGAAGAAGAAGTGCGTCAGGAAACGACCATGAGAGTATTTACACACGACTGCAACATTAAAGCAACACTAAATCAGGATGTAGCACGAACATGTCAGGTTTTTCAAAATAAAAGCACAGGAGTTGCTGACTGTATCTGTTACAGCGATGTCTGAGAAATGTTAAAATGCAACACAAGAAAAGTTACAGTTACTGTTACTGTTAAAATCCTTCCAGACAGCCTGGCAGACTGTGGGGTGGGCAGGTAGAGTTTCAGGAGGATTGTGGATGAAATGCCCCTTTAAGTCACCACATGTCACCAGAGAGGAAGACGACAGCACAGAGCACCAGAGGAAGGTTACAGTTTGTCTAAAGTAGTGTCTAAAAACAGACAGGAGTGTGATCAGCTGTCAGATAACAAATATAAAAATGTATTATTCAGCTTTAAATACCAAAAACAACACAGGTCAGAACACACACGCGTTTGTAAGTTCTTCAGTTCTTCAGTAACAGCAGGAATGTTCCTTAAAATGAAACCAAAGTTCAAACATCATGGGAGGAAATTATCAGCTGACCAAGCAACATTTAAACATTTTACTGTCTCTGTGGTTCTTTCATCTGAAAACTGATCTCTTTAAGGCGAGAAACTGAAAACTTGTTTTTACTGAGGACGTGACGGCAGCTCGTGAATGAACCGTGAAACAGTGTGTTTCATATTTTACTTATTATACATGTTTGTACGTGTTGCACATTAAAGGACCAGTGTGTACGATTTACGGGGATTTAGTGGCGTCTAGCGGAGAGAACTGCAGATTGTAACCAGCTGAAACTTCTCATGCTTAGAATTCCATTTGTGTTTATTGTTGAGAAGGTTTTTACCAGGAGCTGAATTATCCACAGAGGTCTCTTCCTCTCCGAGAAAACAGACCAGCTGATTTAAACCGCTATAAACACTGAATAAAGAAGCTTCATGCCAAAAAAAGTTTGTTTTTTTTTTTCCCCGATGCTGCTCGTCATGGAGGGGCTGGTAAGTACGGTGGCTGACAGGAGATCCCACATTTAAGAGTCACTGAGTTTAGTTGTAATAAAATGTGCTCTGCAACAGGCTTGTCTTTGTCAGATTAATACTTTTAAAGGGTAAGTTTGGCATGGTGGGGCTGTGTGAGGTACTGATCCACAGTGCATGTCTGTCAGCTCTCCTCCAGTTTGGAGAAGCACACAGGAAGTTAATCAATATCCTGCTGTGGGCGTGGTCAGCAGCAAAATGTATTTTAGCCACATAAAAGTATCAGTATCAGTTTAAGTAAATGCTATATTTGGAATATTTTCCTCTCTCTACCTCACTGTCAGACAGTCCTTTTAGATGCTGAACTGAAACTGTTATCTATGCTCTGCTCAGTCACCAGACTACTGACAGAAATAGTCATTTTACCTCGCTGAACGCAGGAGCTGCTGGTCAACCGCTGCCTTGGTGAGTTGGTTTGTGTTACTGTGTGACTTGGTGAATCCACACTAACTCTTAAACACACCAAAGTCCAGTACAATGAGTACACACAGCTTTTATCTTAAAGAGTGAGTGACTAAATGCACAGCTACAAGACACACACCGGCTCCATGACGTGGCCAAATGCAAGTACAACACTGAATGTATTAAACTGTGTGGACCTACAACAAATGACGAAGGAGAAATCTGGACCAGTTGGGAACCACTGATGTAACCACTCGAGGCAGCGTGAGACCAGCAGCTCCTGTGTTCAGCGAGGTAAAATTAATGTTTTGATTAAGGCTTTTGAAGGAAGTGTAGCTAACAGCTTCAGTTCCACATCAGAAGGGCCATCTGACAGTAACGTAAAGTGCTGAAAATATAAATAAAAATAAATCCAGCATACACTTAAACTGATCTATGATATGTTTCGCTGCTGCCCCCCTCCACAGCAGTACGTAACTTCCTGCCTGCTTCTCCAAACTGGGGGCGCACTAACTAGGCCTACATGGTAACTATGTTTGGTGAATGACATATAGTCCCAGAAACAATTGTGATAAGACTATATTATTGTTATTTTAAGAGCATTTTATGCCGCTGATGTAACGACAATAAAACAGCACAACAACACGTCACTCTTTCAAAGAGCAAAGAATTCTTGGTTATATTCAGATGCTGGAATGTGGAAAGGAAATTAAGATATCCTGAATAAAACACAACGGGCAGCATCACAGGATATATGGACGTGACCTTGATCATTTTTCTGACCTTGACAGATCGGTAACATTATCATCATGACAGGCACAGTGTCGACCATAATCTGCTGCAGGTAATACCCTGACTATAGGTAAGTACCTCACACAGCCCTGCTTAAAAAATACAAACTATCCCTTTAATGTGTCCGTTTAAGAACCGCCTCCATAACCAATCAGCTCTCTTAACACACAGAGCTGCACCACACCCAATCTGGAAATCCATCGGTAAAAAAAAAAAATAAATAAAATTTTTTTCTTCCTTTACCTCTGGAGGCACAGCCCGGAGCTTTCGACTAACAGAAGCGCAGGAGCCTCGGCGATCGCTCACGCCCTTCACTTCCGGCGGTGCCCCCAGGGAATAGCCGTGTTGTTTACAAATACTTCGGGTAGAAAACCAGCAGAGTTTAGCTATATATCACATTTTTCACGTCACTATATCACCGTGTAGACTAATCTGATGTTTGTTAAGTCTATAAACACAATTACTGAACTAACGTTACTATTTCTGTGTGCACGTTTTGTAATTAATAACATGGTTATCGTAGATTAGCTGGGCTAACCGTTAGCTGTTAACGTTAGCCGTTAGCGTTGTCTATAACCATAGACTGTATAAAAATAAGGTAATAACTCAATAAACGGTCCGTGAATAAAATATTTTTTGCAGTGAATATCTTATAACATGATTGAGCTAGCAAAGCAGTTTTGTGTTGCTATGTGTGGTATTTATTCAGTTATGGGAAATCACGATGTCTAGAAAGCATCAGTGGCTGCAGCTGACAGGGTCAGTTAGCACAGCTAACATCAGGACGTCATCTGTTAAAAGCCTCCCGTTGTCGGATACGGCATGAAACTACTGCAGTTAGCTCAATCATGTTGTAACTAAGACATCCGCTGGAAAAAATATTTTTTTCACGTTGACGAGACGGCGTTTTGGGTGGAGCGGTCGCTGTGGACGCGGAGCTTGCTGTTTCTGTAGGTACACATTTGCTGGGGACACCTGCACGTCTCGGCCATGCCCCCTCCATTGTGATTGGCTAAAGCGCAGCATCATTCAAACTCGAAGCCCCACCCTCCCCCCCTCTCTAGTCGTCTTTCACACAGGACTGCCGACAGATTCTGCAATGTAAATGCAGAATCTGTCTTGAGAGATTACGCCACACCTAGCTGAGGTTTGGGAGGTGTGTGTGTTGGTTCCTCTGTGACCTACAATAAGTCCGTGTGGGGGAAATAACAAAATATTCTCAGTGTATATCTCCGTACACCGTCTGAGATTTCACTGCAATTATTACAGTAAATAAAGGTAAAGGTAAAGTTCCACTGATTGTCACACACCTGAATGTGTGAAATTTGTTCTCCGCATTTGACCCATCCCCTGAGGGAGCGGTGAGCAGCAGCGGTGCCGCGCTCGGGAATCATGTGGTGATCTAACCCCCCAATTCCAACCCCTGATGCTGAGTGCCAAGCAGGGAGGCAATGGGTCCCATTTTTATAGTCTTTGGTATGACCCGGCCAGGGATCGAACCCACGACCTCCCAGTCTCAGGGCGGACACTCTACCACAAGGCCACTGCGCACGATACTGGATTTTTTGCCAATATACGATATTTAACAACTTATTCGGCCGATAACCGATATCGATATATCCACTTTTCCCCCCACCTGATTTTAGTGGTCAAGTCTCTTGTGTAGTGGAATTAACATCATACATGTATACTCTTATCATGACGGCCCACCAGCAGATGGAGACATGAAATAGAAACCTTTTTATGTATGTGATATTCATTCATTGTACAAAATAAGAAAAAGCATGTTGCCTGATTCTGATGAGGTCATTTTAAAGTGACGTGCTGACATTATCCTGCATCCCTAAACTTTCCTTCTACATCTCTGGGTGTGTTGGGACATTATGGACAAGCTGTATAATGATGACTGATATCAGCACTGCTTTATGCCAATATTGGATTTTTATCTAATATCTGCAGCACTGTGATGAAGTACTTTGATTTATCAGGTATTTGATTCATCGACAGTCCTGTGTGGGTATTTCATTCATTAACTGTTTCCCAATGTATTTTCCATAAGAAGTGTTTCATTATTTATCATAATATAAAACTATAAACTATGCACCTATATCTCTCACCCCTAATGGTAACCAATGACTCCCAGGTTCGTTCATAATTCCTGCTTTACGAAGAGAAAGTGAGACAGCGATGAGCACAACTCAACGACTGTGAAACAAACACAACAATAACGTAGGTGTGAAGGAATGTGAGGATTCAGACTTCTTCAAATCGTCGCGTCTCAAAGGCTCAGCAGTAAATTCAGGAGTCCGTCCCTCCTCAAACAGCTTCCTGAGAACTCGTCTCCACACTTTTAAAGTTAAAGTCTAAATGGCAGTGAAGCAGGAATCTCTGCAGCGGCGTCCTTCTCAGGCGTAGAAGATCAGTTCAGGGATCTGGCCTCCCTGCACTCCGGTGCCGTTGGTGCTGTCCGAGGAGCACTGGAACTGGAAGGTCACTTTACCACACTGCACCTCTGTCATGCCCTCCTGGCCGAAGTAGCTGAGCTCGTTGCCGTCCAGCACCACGCTGGCGGTGTAGAACGTATCAGGCTCGATCTGCACCGGGTAGTCAAACGACACCGGGAAGGTGTTGCTGGAGCCGTCTGAGAAGTACTTGATGATCCTCTGAGCCATCGGCACGCCCTGGCGTTTCAGCTCGATCTTGGCGCTGTACTCAGCTGAACCGCAGCTGGAGCCGTACAAGCCGAAGCCAGCGATGAAGACACGTTTGTCCACGGCGAACTGGATGCTGTCACAGCGGCCTCGATACCGCCACTGGTTGCTCCTGTAGGCGCAGGACTGGAAGCGGTGGCAGCGCTGTGGCGCCAGGCCTTTACGAGGTTTGGTGCAGAACAACAGTTCAGGCTTCTTGGCGGCGGTGTACCACAGGAAGATGTCATTGGTCTCGTTGAGCGTGAGAACACCAGACTGTGCTGCTCCGTTGGCAAAGTCCTCCAGCATCATGGTGGGGATGCGGATCAGGTAGATGGCTTTCCCCAGCACCAGACGCTTGTTCTCAATAGTTGGCGTCAGGTCTTGTCTTTGACACTCGGCCTCTGCCCAGTTCAGCGCCGCCTCGAACACCACCATCTCTTTGGCGTTGAGCGTCTCCCGCCGCAGGATGCTCTCCAGCGTCTGGGCATCGATGTCACAAAAGCCTTCAGAGCGTAGCGCAAGCTCGGCCTGAGCGTCGATCACCTCCCAGCAGCGCTGCGTCAGGTCCGGCTCCTCGAACAGGCAGCTCTGGGACAGCAGCACGCAGGCGTTCTTGGCGCTCAGGCTGGTCTCCAGGAAGTTGACACAGGCCCGGGCCAGGTGAGGCACGATGTACTTTTTGGCGGCGTAGAGGGTGGCGAGCACTGTGTCAGCACACAGGTCAATCTCATCACAATAGATATACCTGGGAAGGTAGAGGGCAACATTAGTGCATTATTTTCACTTGTTTTATGGTGAAATAAAATTAAATCTAACCACATTATGTTCCTATTTGTTATATATGAAGACGTTAATGAGTAATTGTTTTGTGTGTCTGGTGTTTCTATGGAGACAAAGCTAAATGCCCACAGTCCAATCACAGTCTATGAACACGGAATGACTTCTGACATACTTCAACATGGCCAGGAACGAAGGAGGTTCGACGTCAGGGATCCGGATCTCGTCCTGATCCTCCGCCAGTTCTCCATAAAACATGGCGTGGAACACGGAGCTGCCGACGGCCAGGACGTACTGACAGAGCAGAGGAACAACGTGGACGACATGAGAGACAAAATCTTCACTTACAATAGATCTGACTCCCTCAGCTGAGCCTCTTTCATCTGACTTCCTGATGTAGCCTTCATGCAAAGACCACATTTCAGTCTGATATTTGATCCTTGGCCTGATTTTTATGACTGAACTAATTTATTTTTAACATTTTTTTTTATTACAAGATGATAGTCAAGATGTCATCTAGTCATATAAGGTGTAAAAATAGTTTCTTCAACATGCAAATCTTCATACTACTGCTGGTTTTTCTGCAAGTTCTGTCTTGTTCCTGTCTCCAGTTTGCAGCTTCTTTGGTTTCAGTCAAACAAAAATAAAGAAAAATCCTTCTTTGATTAAACTGTGATCTCCAGTGTTGGAGGGGCAACAAGGCGTCACTTCATCTGACAAGTTATGAACCACAAGGCTCCACACGCTTTTAATAGCGTGCGAGGGGTTTTACCTTGTGTCCTGGTACTCGCTGTGTCCCGCCAGGCGGCCCGACCACAAAGTGAACATCTGCCATCATCTCATTGTTGAACATGACTGAATTCCTGCAAGGACACCAAATTTATAAACATTTCTTATTACAATACGTAAAAACTCACACCAGAAAATCTAGCACATGAAGTTAAAGGTATTGTTTAATCATAGAAACAAATTCGACATGTTTAAAGCCTCCTCACTGAGGATCCTCTGGTCCTGCAAACACCCAGTGACAGCCATTGTTTTAAAGGTAAAGTACACTAAATCAAGTCCTTGTGCGTGTTCACATGCTTAGCCAATAAAGCTGATCTGAATAAAGCAGATTCTGAGTGTAATTTAGGAGCTTCACACATGGAAAATGAGAATAAAGTAGCCTTAGCAATGCTTTTAGATTTGGAAATGGGTTCATGGGTTAATCAGGGACTCTGATGTGTCACACACTTAAAATTCATGTGCAAACGGCAGCAGATAGGTTCCCTGTGAAAGTTTCTTTAAAAATCAAATTAAATTAAATCACATTATTTGGCTAGAGTTTGCCTCTTTATTGGGAAATGTGTACACACACACAACACACTAATTCAGCCAATTAAAAAAATGAATTCATAACTTTTTGTACAGGCCCAGTTGAATATTGTGATAAAAACACGTGGTTATCATAACATCCCACTGCACACCTGGATTGGCATCACGACACCATCTGAGACACACTGCTGTACAGTAGTAGTATGGGTAATGGAACGCACAGTTGGTTTCTATGCACCACATATCTGTAACAAACTCCCAAAAAACTACAGGTCTGCTGCAACTCTCAGTTCTTTTAAATCACCATTGAAGACTTGACTAAAAATGTAATAATTATTTATTTCTTACTCTTCTTATTCTCCAGGTCTTTGGTGGCATTCTTAATTGCTTTTAAATGTCCCTTTATACTGTGTTTCTTCTGCACTTTGTCTCAATGCCTTTAGTGTTTTATGTAAAGCACTTAGATTTGCCTTGTTGCTGAGATGTGCTGTATAAATAAACTCGCCTTGCCTCTGAATACTTCATATGATTACTGGTGTTTCCATGGTTGCTCTGTTTCGATCACAGTGCGGTTTTGTACACAGAAATTAATTGGGATACATGCAGAGCCAGTGTCTGTACAGGGCCAGTGTCTGTACAGGCCTGGACCAGGCTAACTCTCACTCTGTATTGAGGCAGACAATGTGTAACTGGGAACATGCTCTCTCCTCTCCTCATCAGCTGTCAGCCTCCTCTTGGCTCAGACAGCTCACCCCTCTCTGCAGCAGTGCTGCCTCAGACTGACCTCTCCCGGATGGTCGGGTACAGGCCCTGCCAGTTGCAGCAGCCCTGTGCGGCGGTGGCGGTGTTATTGTTGGTCAGGTTCTGCTGCTGGTACTGGTGGATGGACGAGGTGGTGCTGCTCGCTGAGGCGGAGGGGACCAGCTTCTTGGTGGGAAACAGCTCTGCAGCCATTATCTTCCAGTCACACAGCAGGCCGGCTCATGGCAGCTCCCGGGCCGGGACTGAACTGCTGCTGTCGGACCGGCAGAGTCTGGAGAGCACCGCCGAGAAATGTACTTTATATTCAGACACTGACACAGCAAATAACTTTATACAAAGTCTGGATTCTACGCTCTTTTAGAGCTAAGTTAACGTTAGCCATGCTAGCTACACACCCGAGTCATCTTCACCAGCTGGTTTACGTAAAGTTACTTTAATAACACCTGACAGCATAAAGGAAACAGTCAAATGAATTTAGTGTGAAATAAAAAGTTATCTAGTCACCGTCAAAACCCCGGAGGTTTCTTTTTAGCCCTAACTTTAGCATGTTTATGCTAGTTAGTTAGCTGACTAACTAAAAGCTCGTTTTTCGAGGTAATTTCTCGGTCAGCGTTATAATGTTCGGTGAATAACTCAGTCTCCACTTACTTCAGTGTTATTCAGAAGTATTAATATTCATATTTTCTCCTCACATGAAGCAGTTTTTGAGAAGTTTAACAGAACTGGGCGCTCAGCTTTGTTTACAGTAGCTAGCTAGCTTCTTCTGCTAATGTTTACAGCAGAGCAGCTCATCAAAGGCGCCGCGCTGCCACCTGGAGGCCGGAAGTGACAATGACGGATTGTTGTTCTTCTTCTTTGGGTCGAATGGCGGTTGGCAAACCAGCTTTCAGATGCAATACTGCCACCTACTGGACTGGAGTGTGGAGCAGTAGATGGGCTGGAAACAAACCCAAAAATAAAATAAAATAAAATAAAATAAAATAAAATAAAATAAAATAAAATAAAATAAAATAATTCTCTCTATTATTTCTGAATAGATTCCCCGATGTAATCCTGTGCTTTTCCTCAGTTAGTACTGTTATTAACCCTAACCCTTCTTTCTTCTTCATACCTGTTGTGATCTATTAGTACAGGGGTAGGCAACCTGTGGCTCCGGAGTCACATGTGGCTCTTTAGCCCCTGTCCAGTGGCTCCTTGAGCCTTTGAGAAAAGAATTCTATGGAAATTCATTCTATGAATCCAAATGTTGCTGAACCTCGGCAGCAGTGGCTGGTTAGCTATGGATGCCAAATCCAAAAAAGTAAATTGAATAAAATACAATGTAGTAGTGCATGGACAGATTTGTTTGCTCTCATTGCCAGCTCTGCAAAATTTAAGTACCAAATAATCATAAATAGTGCCCTGCACAGTGTCCACCTTGTGGTAAAACATATTAACAAATGCTTATTTAGACCATAAGTATACACTAATTTAGACTTAATAGGCTATTTACCTTGATTATAAGGCTCAAACATGTTTTGCGGCTCCACACAGATTTTTTCAAATTATTCTTGGTCAAAAATGGCTCTTTTAATGGCAAAGGTTGCAGACCCCTGTATTAGTTGATTACTGACATTAATCATTACTCATTACTGACATTTTTGTCACAGTGTGTACACGTTTCAGTGGGATGCTTCCCTATTCTATGGAGGTTGTCATTTAATCCTGTATCCTTGGACAGGTAGTTACAATGTCTTTTAGTTTATTGAACATTTATAAAACACATAAGAACATGCAACATCTCATAGAAATTGTGGTTAAGAAAATAAAGACAAGATATATTTAATTTCCACCTTCTCCTGAGGTAAAATCTTGAATGAGATTTATAAAATGAATAAATTCCTAAGATTGAGATTAAATTTTGATGCAAATAATTGTACATTTTGTGACAAGGAAACTGAAAGTTTGGAACATGTGTTATTCTATTGTGAACCAGTTCAGTCCCTCTGGAGGTATATGTGGTGTCTGCTACAGTCCAGTGTATTGTATTTTTTTTGTAAATCAACGTGAAGCATCCATGTTGGTGTGTAAATAAACAAAAGCGTCACCATCATGATATACAACATATTCCTTTATTGTTGTTACTGATAAAATCTGTCACTCTCCCATTTTGAAAAAAAAAGAACAACAATGAAAAAAGTGAAACAACACCTGTATGTACTTTATGTACAGCCAGATTAGCATCTATAATCTCTCTGTAATAGGTTCACTGTACACATTAAAGGACAACAATCATTTACAGGCAAACCGAACAGGGTTTTATTCAGTTTGAAGGTTCAGCTCTGCCTTTGGCCACTGAAGACAACAAAATATAGAAACGTGAAGAGTTCAGCTGCCTACATCACTACCGGCTAGTGTTCCTGCTGATGTAGTGTGAGTGACCATAATCGGCTCCTATGGTTTTATAATCAAAGTGTAAGATGGTAAATGTACAGAAGCCTATTGACGCCATGCCAGGAAAAAAAACTGATCAGTGTCAGGTAATAACATGAGAAGTGTCTTCTTATAACAGGATGTTTTTCCACGTTTTTACAAGATGTTCTAACAAGAAAAGTTTGACGTTATAACAAGATTAATAAGTATAATGCTATGACATGTTTCTTTCTTTATAAGAAAAGTTTGTTATAACATGAAAATAAATCATAAAAACGTGAAAAATATCGTTATAACAAGAAACTTATTGTAAAAAAAAATAAACTTTTCGTGTATAACAAGAAACTTCTCATGTTATTACCCGACACTGATAGTTTTCTTTCCTGGCCTGGCAGTCCTATGCCTCTGTATAAATGAGATTAAATTATTGGCAAACACACTGATTCTATTGCTCTGAAAGTAAAATAAAGTAGACAGATATGAACGGAGTCTGGTGTCAGTTGATTTGGGATTATCTGAGGATGATAATAAGCCAAAATATGCAGAAACTAGAAATACCGTCCCACGCAGTCTCCATCCATGTCAGTGAAAACATGGATGCTTCACACACAGAAGATTTATACAATCAGCACATTTTCAAGATTAGAGTCACCAATTCAGTATCTGACCAAATGTCTCCCCTTCTGTTCCTGAGATATGACGTTAAAACATGATGATGTCACAGTCAAGCTGACCTTTGACCTTTTGACCTTCATTATTTGATCCTGTTAGACATTTGTGTCAAGTTCTGTCATAATTAGCGTATGAATTCTTGAGTTATGGCCAAAAACGTTTTGTGAGGTCACAGTGACCTTTGGCCACAAAATTTTAATCAGGCTATTCTTCAGTCCGAGTGGACGTTTGTGTCAAATTTAAGGAAATTCCCTTAAGGTGCTCTTGAGATATCAGGTTTACGACAATGAGACAGATGCAAGGTCACAGTGACTTTGAACTTTGACCACTGAAATCTAATTGGTTCACTGTTGAACCATGTGAACGTTTCAGAAATGCCCTCAGGCCTTCTGAAGATTTCGTGCTCACGAGGATGGGACGGACGGACAAGCTGAAAACATAATGCCTCCAGCATGGCGATCACCAGAGGCATACAAAACAAAAACTTTATTTTGTTTAGGCTGGACTTTCATGCCACAAACTGTCTTCTGCAATCCACGCTGGATGTGTCGGATAAACCTTTCTTGTTTTCTTCTGGATTTGATGTGAAAACTTTGGATACAGATAAGTGCAAGAATTACAGTTGACATAATGGCAAAGTCTCGGCCATGTTGTTGAGCCCGGTCTCACTCCAAAGTCGTCGAAATCTGGCACTTGGGCAGTGACCTGCGGTGTCAGAAACCAACGTAAAAAGGCGTCCTTTAACATCAGAAGTTATCTAGTCACCGTCAAAACCCTGGAGGTTTCTTTTTAGCCCTAACTTTAGCATGTTTATGCTAGTTAGTTAGCTGACTAACTAAAAGCTCGTTTTTTGAGTTAATTTCTCGGTCAGCGTTAAAATGTTCGGTGAATAACTCAGTCTCCACTTACTTCAGTGTTATTCAGAAGTATTAATATTCATATTTTCTCCTCACATGAAGCAGTTTTTGAGAAGTTTAACAGAACTGGGCGCTCAGCTTTGTTTACAGTAGCTAGCTAGCTTCTTCTGCTAATGTTTACAGCAGAGTCAGCTCATCAAAGGTGCCGCGCTGCCACCTGGAGGCCATCAGCATGATACAAGTCTGGTTGCCTTTATCGTTTAACAGTGCCCGGCCCATCAGTTTACAGTGTTGTACCAATGTAGTGCTTTTATTTTGAAAGAGACTGTTTTGTTTGTTTGTGTTTGAGACTGTGTGTTTAAATTTCATGTAACAGGCTGAAGTTGACACGGCGTCCCAGAACGTCAAAAACAAACACACCCAGGGTACCTTGGACGTCGTATGTGGACGTGGAAAGTCCACGACAAAAACATCGATGTGTGACGAGGTCGGTGTGAGAATGTGTTGTATCCTCACACGGATGTGAAAAGACTTTTAAAAGTAAACAGCTGACTCCAAACTGACATTTCTGTGACTGAGCTCAGACTGAGACGAAGCACCAAAACAACCAGACTCCGTTCACTTTCTGCATAACTTTAAAGGTAAGCTGAAAATCAAACTGCAGACTTACCGTCACATAAATAACTGTTTGATCTTTTGGCTCAACTCGATAAATGATCCGCTGACTCTCACTTTCAAATTTCCCTTAAATTACACCACGTTTATAAATAGATCTGCTTTAATACTTAAAAACTGTACACATATCTGCTTACCCTTTTTACACCGTTTCAATTTAAAGAAAAGCAACACGGAGTTTCCCTCCACCCCACGAACACAGCTGCATGTTTGAGATGATAATTTGGTAGAAAGCGAAAACAAAGTGTTATGTAGTGCTGAGAGGTCAAGTCATGTACATGTACTTCTTACAACACCAGCAGAAACCCCAAAGGAATAAACTTCACTTTTCAAGTAAAACAGAGAATACATCTTTAAAAAAAATATCTACCTGTATCTTACAAGTCTGTCACCAAACACAAAGAGTCGTTTAAAAAACTAGTTAATCGCTCCAAATAATAATAATTACACAAAATACAATATTTTCAGGCAGTCAGCATATAAAGCAGTTACAAATCTGGGGTTTAGGAACTAAACAGCTGTTACTTAAAGTGTTGCACTATCGTTATTTCACAACAAAACGAGCTAATTAGCATTAGCAACAACAACTGTCAGGTTTAGTAGGAAGCATCTCGTCGTCTTGGTTCAATCTTTTGGCTTGAATTTGGCGTTTTCATAGTCATTAATAAATATGATCTAAGTAAAACAAATAAATGAGGAAAGCGTCACTGCAGGGTTTTTTTTTTCCTCGCTGCAGTTCGTCACGATTTTTCAACCATAAATACACCATAAAAAGCAGCAGGTTTTCAAACGCAGCCTCGCCACCACAAAGCTGATCAAAACTACGCAAACAGAAGAGATTCAATCCAAAATATCTCACATCCACGTGAGGGGAAATAAAACTTTAAACCGGACAAGAATTCAAACCTGAAATATTTGTTATTATTTCAGATGCATTAGTTTTTTCCTCCAGATGTTTTCAGGTGAGATTTCACTTTGGAGAGAAGTTCTGTATTTGATCTACAACTATCAAAGTGTCACATGACAGCAGGTGTGTTTACAGGTGGAGGCTCGGTACAGTATATTACAGTTATCATTAACGACGTGTCACTGTCGCTGCCGTCCAAACACACTGAAGAGTTTCATTTCAAAATGACACGTCTTCGTTTTAGTGTTCATGTTCAGTCAGTATGGATTTAAAGGAATACTTCACCCCACAAGTGACAATTTGTTGATCAGTTACTCGCCCATGTTACGTTACATTCATGAAGAAAACTTTGTTTTTCTCACGTCGTCATGGTGAAATGAAAAATTCATAATGAATTTAAATGACTCAGTCCGTAGAGGCTTGACTTGGGAACCGGAGGGTCGCTGGCACAAGTCCCTTTGAGCCACATTTCCACCAAACCCTTTCAGTGCAGCACCTTTGGAACCAGCAGTAAGCCTTCAGACATGGTACCTAGACCCTCGGTGTGTTCAGACAGTCCTCTTAAATGTGGGCTGGGTTGTTGTCACTCACTGCTCCGTCCAGCACTCGCTGTATTTCCTCATCAGCGGTGACACAGATGGAAGTCTGCACCTGGTTTATCGTCCACAGAACGAGGCTGCACGCCCACATTTTCACAACAAAATAGAACAGGCTGCAGTGAGAGTCTCTCTCCATGGGATATTTAAAAATAGCAGCTTTGTGCATTTAGTCCTTCTCAGGCAAGCTCAGGGGTTTAGTGTTGCTGTAGCCCACAGGAAGTGAGGATTAGAATATATGACCTTCACATAATCCGCTCCAAATTAATCTATATTTTTAAACTCTTGAAGATTCACTCATTACTAAAAGTGTCCATCATCCAAGAGCGACAATAAAAACGAATGGAACGCTCATATTGAAATTTAAAGTGTGCTGATGGATTCATGTCAAAAAAACTAAATCAAAACATCCGTTCTCAAACTCACACAACTCGCACAGTATAATCCAAAGCTCCTTTTACACTGCTTGTTCAGGCGGGAACATGGCGCTGTCATGGCGCCTCACCATGCTGTATATAAGGTACAATCACGGAATGGGGAGACAGAGTTGTCTCGGAGGTAATAACAGCGCTGAACCAGTACTGTGTAAAAGGGACAGCTGGCAGGATAGGTGTGACGTTCTGATGACGTGTTATGCGTCATCACCGCAAGAGATATAAAAAGCAGCTAGTAGCATTTAGCAGCAGGTCCAGGAGCTCCTTACCCTTTGAGCAGAGGACGAGATCAGCCACCATATAACAGGGACCGTAAATGATTATTGACATTTTGCACCATTGTTATTGTTTATGAAGTGCTGCTGACTCATATGTTATATGTCACACTGGTGGCCGATGCTGTTGTGTTAATGTCACGCCTGTCACACCTCTTTTGATTCTGCAATGCCAGCATGCTGTCTCAAATCAAACACTCTACTGAACCCGCTGTTGTTTTATTCTGTGTTACAATGCAAAGCCAGACTCCATTGAATAAAACAGTAGTTTTACCTCGCTGAACACTGAAGCTGCTCAGGCCCCGCTGCCTCCACCAGTTAGTCTGTTTGTGTTATTGTGCAACTTTAGTGTTTTAAAGGGTTCGTTTGGATTCAGCAAAGTCACACAGTAACACAAATAAACTAACTGATCGAGTCAGTGGCAGAGCAGCCACTCCCACGTTCAGTGAGGTAAAATTACTCTTTTTGTTAATGGAGTCTGGTGGCTCTCAAGAGAGCATGGATAAATTATATTTTCAGTTCATTTCTCTGCCGGAAACTGTATGAATAACGGGCGTAGCTTCTGTGACATCACCCATTGGTTTGGGCTCCTGTTTTGAACCCTCGAGTTCGGCATTTCAGCTGTTGCCATCTTGGTTTTCGGAGCCAGAAGTGACCATATTTGGATGAGAGGCTGGAGCTGTGGATAAGTGCAGGGTGGATCTGACTCAAGAAGAACCAGCTCATAATTATGTGTAACTTTGGGGGTTAATGACATGTAAACAGGTGAGTTATATAAAATTCAGTCCCTTACAGTTGTCGTGAATGTTGAAATTAGCTGCAGAGACTGAAACTATTTTTTTAAACATGTAAACATGTTGTAGAGACATTTTAACATGGAGGTCTATGAGGTCCTCAAGTGGACATTAGAGGAACTGCAGTTTTTGGCACTTTTGGCTTCATTTTCAGCCTCCTGGGACGCTGCTTGGTTGGAAATAGCTGTTTGTTTGGGAAGTACTGAGCATACGACTGGCTGAGAGAGACTTGAATTGCACTACATTAGTTATGTGAGAGTTTTCTTCGACCCCACGTTTTTGTATTTTTCGTTCACCGTGGAGGCATGCGTGAAAAACAGTTTTCTTCATGAATTCAACATGACACGGGGCGAGTAACTGATGAACAAATAGTCATTCGGGGGCAGAAGTATTCTTTTAAACGTAGATATTAAACTCTAGGACATGTTCGTGCACGTTCTGTGCTCAGGTGGGAATGTGGAGAACACGAATGAACCTGTGCTGATTTTTTTTTAAAAAGGTGCAGCAGCAGCAGCACAGTGTCAAATTACTCAGACTGAAAGTTTGAATAACAGCCAATTCCCTTTTTTCAGCCTCTAGCTGGTTCCTGCAGCTCTGCTACTCTCAAAGTCTCCCATGACATCTAATAAATCTGTTTGATAACATTTCTCACTGCTGCTGCTGCCAAATTTCATCGATGTACAACCACAACGCAGATTATTCTTCTCTAAGCCACACCACAGCTCACTGTGCAGAAATAAAACTCCAGTTAATTCTCTGAATCACGTCTGCACTCAGCCAAAGACTGTTTGTTAGGGAAGGACCTCCACTCTGTGACACACCTGCTCTATCAGAGCGCAGTGAGCGTTACTGTTGCTCCAAATATATGAGCAGAGCTACACATGTTGACACATGTTTCATGTGTCAGAAACCATCTGATTTTGAAATGAAACCCTCCAGATGTTTGTGATCTGACCTGCTGACAGAGTCTCTGAGTCCACCCGACACAAGTGTCACTAATCTGGGTCATGACCTTTGACCTCTTACCTCCTGGCGTGGGCGTTTACAGGATGAAACTCGACCACTCTCCAAAATCCGACCGATTAAACTTCTTCAGGCCGCAGGCAACGACTTAAACAGGAAATAATGAAAATCACACCAAATCAATTTAAGAAGCAAAAATCCACAGAGTCCTGCGCAGAGTGTGATGTCATCATGAGGTGAAATGAGAGCGCTCACATGAGTTCTGATCATAAATGAGTCGACTCAGTCTCCACGTGTGTGATGAGCTTGTGACACATTCGGATCTGACTTGTTAAAATTGGGTCGTCTTATTTTGAAAGTGAAAAAGTTGATCTTCTGATGCACAAAATCATTTTCCCTCAAAACCTAAAAGAATTTATGTTGTGAAGAAAAAAGGCACATTATCATGAACAATATTTCAAAGCAACACCGACACGCAGGCTGTTTTTACTGGAGTGTTTGGGGTCAGTGACGGTGGAGAGTTTTTATGTTAAAAGAAAAAAGATTCCAGCTTTGCTAAAATGTACCGAGAGTTCCTGTATGGATTTTTTGCCACTTCCTGTTTCATTCATCGTCTCATCCAGAGGTTTGTTTGTTTCGGGACCCGGGCCAGCCTAAGTCCGAAGGGGGGTGGGGGGGGCGAATATTTGACAGATCTTAAAGGAGCAGTCCGGCTATTGTCACCTTCAGTTTTCTGCTTCCTCATCCAAACTCAACAGTGGAGACCAACTCCACCCTCCTCCATCTCTGTGACGCTCCACCCGTCCTCTGAGCTCCACACTCAGCTGGTGTCAGGTCATACGAACACCTTGGCGAGCGCGTCAGCCCCGGCGCTGCCGATGTAGCACTTGGTAGGGTGGAATGCCACGTCGTGGATCGACTCCTCAAACTTCTTGCGGTGAGCGGTGAACTCCTGGATGCACGTCTTGCTCTCCATGTTCCACAAACGGATCGAGCAGTCGTGACCTGGAAGGAAGAGAGAGAGAGAGGATGATGAGGGTGGAGGAATGTGTCCGTCAGCGTCAGGGGCGTGTCCAGGGAGGGGCCTGATTGGCCAACTCATTATCCTGAAATACTGCCTCATTGTCACTGCACGGATTGGCTCAATTCAACTCACTTTTGGTACCACGTTCTTTCCTCTATTCTATTTTCCACAGCAGATAGTACCCCCTCAGTGTAGGTGGGATTTTTAGCTGATCGCCATAGTGATGCTGCCATGACATCGTTTTTAAAGGGATAGTGCAAACAAAAATGAAAATTCAGCCATTATCTACTCACCCATATGCCGACGGAGGCCCTGGTGAAGTTTTAGAGTCCTCACATCCCTTGCGGAGATCGGCGGGTGGAGCAGCTAGCACACCTAATGGCAGACGGCGCCCCAGACTAACGTCCAAGAACACAAAATTGAATCCACAAAGTATCTCCATACTGCTCATCCGTAGTGATCCAAGTGTGCTGCAGCCCCGACATAAAAAGTTGTTTCGAAAAACGTCATATGAACTCTGTTTTTAGCCTCACTGTAGCCTGTAGCTCTGACTGCTTCTCTGTGCTCCGCGTTCACGTGTGCGCGCCTGCGCGAGACCAGCGAAAGCATGAGCTTTGCTCACCCGTGTTTACATCACGTGACACGTGCACCGCAGGGGGAGACAACAGTAACCACAGAGCTAAAAGATAATTTGCACTACGGTCTTTTAGCAAAGGACAGCCCAACATGTCTGAAGACTTTGAAATTGAGGAGGAACAGCATTTCTTTGTTGAGCCGTATTTGTTTGAGCCCGAGTATACGGACGGAACTCAGGCTACTGGACGAAGCAGCCGCCGCAGCTCATGAGCCTAACCCTCAGCCAGCCGCAGAATACCGGAGTCGAGCACTGGAAACCTGGTGGTGTAGTTGTTTCAAATGCAAAGCAATGCCAACGGGTGAGGAAAGTCTTTGCTGCTCAGACTGGGAATTGGCGATGCCTGCACTTGAGAATCTGGACATCAGTACTGACGAGACTGCTGCTCTTCAGAGACCGTGCATCACCGATCACCCTGAGCGCGCACACGTGAACGCGGAGCACAGAGAAGCAGTCAGAGCTACAGGCTACAGTGAGGCTAAAAACAGAGTCGATATGACGTTTTTCCAAACAACTTTTTATGTCGCGGCTGCAGCACACTTGGATCACTACGGATGAGCAGTATGGAGATACTTTGTGGATTCAATTTTGTGTTCTTGGACGTTAGTCTGGGGCGCCGTCTGCCATTAGGTGTGCTAGCCGCTCCCCCCGCCGATCTCCGCAAGGGATGTGAGGACTCTAAAACTTCACCAGGGCCTCCGTCAGCATTTGGGTGAGTAGATAATGGCTGAGTTTTCATTTTTGGGTGCACCAAACAGTCAGTGGTCTGCAGTGTTTTGACTCCATCCCTCGTATCCACTCAGCTTGCTTGGAACATTGACCAAGGTGGTACCAAAAAACTTACCAGGTACTGTGTGCAACTATTGAGAATGGACAACCAAAAAATAGCGAGTCAAACTGAGTAGAGCCGAGCCGTGGAAATTCGACATAAGATCTGCTGTCAGCCCGTTCAGCAGCAGCACCTTTAGTTGGTATTTTGTTGTGCTGTTTGTGTTTCATCCACTCAGGCTCACTTTTTAAAGTTTTGTTGGTACTTTACACTATGACTGTGTTTTCTAATGGCTCCCATGCCGGGAAAGAAACAACATCAAGGGTTTAATTTCATACACTATGCTGCTAATGTCATGTACATGCTGAGACGTCCATGTGGCCTATCAATTATATCAATAAGCATGTCTGAGCACCGCAGTACTATCTACTTTAGTACTTGGTGTGTGGACTTATTCGTTTTGTACTTTGCCAGACGTGTCTTTGGTCCAGGACCCGCTCCATCAGACGCCACATGTGCGTGTCTCTTGTACCGTTTTTGAATAATTGTATTTCCCAGCATTCTGAACTTGTCCATGACTAATGACTTAGAAATATATGAGACTGGTGAATCAATTAGAATATATATAAATATTACATTCTTAAATTTGTCAGACAGCGTGTGGCTGAATACTCACTTCCAGACATGAGGTACAGTCCGTTTGGATCCACAGCGAGACTGGTGACAGAGTCCAGGTGAGCGACCATCGAGTGGATCAGTTTACCTTCAATTCAAAACACAAGGAAAAAAAAGAAGAGACTTTGATCCACTTTAATCAGAACGCACGGTAAAGCAATAAAGTAAGCCCTACTGTAAAAAACACAGAGCATATATGTCCCCATTTCCCGGTACGTACAACTGACAGTCAGTTCCTCCATCTTTAACAGCATTGTTTCGTTTTAATAAATTTCATTTAAGCAAAACACATTTTTTAACAGCATTGTTTCGTTGTTTCTTAATTCAACAAATTAATTTAATTTAAGTAAAACATGTTTTGTACAACATTCGTCTGTCTTTAATAATACTGTCTGGTTTGGTTTTTTAATTAATTAATTTTATTTAAATAAAACATTTTTTACAACATTCATCCATCTTTAACAACATGTTTTAATCTTTTTTTTATTTAATTAATTTAATTTAAGCACACTACATGTTTACAACATCCATTCATCTTGTTTTTTTAATTCAGTTATTTTATTTAATTTAAATAAAACACACTTCATCCATATTTAACAATACTGTTTTTGCAGTATTTTTATTTTATTTATTTACTTTTTATAGTTTTTATTTAAAACATTTAATTTAAAAAACTTTTTTTTACAGCATTCCTCCAACTTAACATTGTTTAGTTGTTTGTTATTTTATTTTAATAATTTAAGTAAAACACGTGTGTAAACTTTCATCCATTTTTAACATTTTTTGATGTCTTTAAATTTAATCAATTAATTTAAGTACAGCACATGTTTCTTCTATCTTTATCAACATTGTTTAGTTGTTTTTTAATTTAAATAATTAATTTCCTGTCATGTTAAAGGTTGTCTGTTTATTTCACTGATGGAGTTTCACGAGTTTCAGAAAAAAGAAGCTTAAATCTCACAACCAGGAATCATGAAATATGACTTACAATCCAACACAGCGTGAATAACATCATATTTAGATGAATATTTTTCAGCTGAACCACAGTCTCAGTCTCTTACTATGGTAATATACGCTGATTTCGTATGTTGCTTCCATAAAGTAGTTTGACCCATGAGAGATGGATTAAAAGATGAACCGAAGCATCTAAAAAATCCTGAATTTTTAGTCCCTGGTGTGGGTCAATCTCCAAAAACTCTGGAGCCTACATTTCCCATAATGCCACTCAGCAGCATCTTTCATTAGAGCCTCCCTGCCTGATGAACATCCACGTTTATCTAAAAAAAAAAAAAAAAAAAAACACAAAACAAAAAAACTTCACCTCCGATTTGTGAATATGTTTTCCTTTTAGGAGTGTATAGTCTGCAAGACCGAGCCAAGATAACCCTGATGACATCACTATGACATCATCAGGGTTATTTTCTCAGGCTTGACAGACCAGGAGCTGAGCCACCAGGGGACACCACACGACTGCTAACAGGCTGAGAGGAATTGTTCATGACAAAGTCAACAGAATGTGACATGTAAAACTGGTGGTGCGTTCCTTTAAATGAGACTCCTCCTCCTCCTCCTCCTCCTCCTCCTCCTCCTCAGCAGCAGGTGGTGTTAGGGTGTTACCTGTGTTATTATCGAAGAACTGGATGTGCCGGTCCTCCTGAGCTGTGATGGTGATTGGCAGCGTGGGATGACTCAGCACTTTGTTGATCTTGCAGGGAGCTTCTGTGAGTGGGCGGACGTGAGAAGGACAACATTAGCATTTAATACCGACAATCTGAGAGCATTTGTGGGAGATGGTTCCCTCCAACAGCAAACTCAGAGACTTGAAGCATCAAGGGAACACGCTGCAGGAGAGAGAGGGTTCTCTCTCCTCTGCTGAAGTACAGCTCTCTTTATTGAGTTAAGATTCATTTGACAGAGAAACAGCAGACAGGAAGTCAGGAAGTAGAAGACTTTTCATGAGATTTTTTGACAGCAAGAAAAGTAAAGAATAATGGCAGCCTGATCCTTTAACATGGACGACAGGAGTGTGAGGAAAGAGACTGAACGTTGCACTAAATACAGGATGTATTGTCAGCTGGTGCTTGTGTAACGCTGTGGTCTTGTTTTCAGCCTCAGATGGAGCTGCAGTGATCACATGAACAGGCACTAAATTCTCCCTCCATGAGTGACCCTGTTTGGACTCGTGTGATTGGTTGGCTGATTTACCTGGCGGCCCGGCGGACTCCAGCTTCAGGACGAGCTGCTGCGTCTCCATGTTGAAGAGTCCGATGTGGCCAGTGGTGAAAGATGTCACCATGTGAGCCGGCTCGCTGCTCACCAGGTCCACCGAGGTCGGCACTCCCAGCTCTGACACACACACACACACACACACACACACACACAGCAGAGGTTAACTGTGTGTGTACCAGGGCTGCCCCCTAATGGTCGACCAAGCGTTAGTCGACCACAGAGGTCATTAGTTGGCAAACTATCAGGAGCTGCACCTTGTCAGAATAAATCCAAACCTATGTGACTGGAGCATGTGTGACTTTACTTTGAAAGGACAGACACAGGAAGTGTCCACGCTCAGCAGTCAGACAGGAGTCAGGTTAATTTCCAGGGCTGGTACCTGCGGTTATTCCACAGGCTGGTTAATAACATGTCAGGCAGGAAATCCAAAGTGTGGGATCATTTTGAGAAGGTGAAGGACGAACCCAAGGTGATATGTAAACTCATCTTCATTGGTCGACTACAAACATGACGTATCATCTGAAACATGGAAGTAGCTACATGCCCATTAGCCCACAGCGTCATTAACAGGTGTCTCGAAGGAAATGCAAATTTGAGTCAGCATGTTAGCACACATACATGACGGAACAAATAAAGGTATCAAGTTTCTCACCTCCTCTCTCGTTAAAGACAGCGAGAGATGGCGAGGTGTCGGCGGCGTTCCACAGCCGGACTGTCCCATCAGCCGAGCAGGAGAGGAGGCGCTGGTGGGCCGAGCTGTAGACCAGACCCCACACTGAGTCTGTGTGACCTAACAGTGCCCCCCGCAGGACAGAGGGTTCTGACAGAGAGAAGGGTCACGTGTCAAAAACACATTTACTGCAGCAGCTGTCGTGCTACTTAATTACTGCTGGAACGTACCATATGAGTCGTAGGGGTCGATGTTGGGGTTGGGGGTGTTCCAGCTCTGGATGGTGCCGTCCACGCCGCCACTGAAGCACTGCTCACCACTGGAGCTCATGGTGACGCACAGCACAGCGCCGCTACACGGAGGGAGGGAGGGAGGCAACAAATAAACCGTTTAACTTTCTGTGAAGCATCATGACCTTAAATACCCAAACATGTAAATATTAACAACACACATGTTCTTATTAAAGCTTTAAAATGAGACGTTTAAGGTTTTGATGGGATAAAGATGATGTCAAAATTATGACTTGACTTTTAGGCCTCCTTCTGCAGCACTGATGACAGATGTGATGGTCCTCTTCTTAGCCAGCCCCACTGTCCTCAGTTTGGTGATGACTCTGCAGAGTGACCGGCCTTCAACATCGCACCTCATTAGGCTCACAGCAGGTGTTCAAAGCCTGCCTCCTGCTCTGCTCTGTCGGCTCCTGCTACTTGGCGCTCCTCCCAGGGTATAGTTCATTCTATCATGAGTGCTTGTTTGGTGCATTCAGAAAAACCTGACCGTGTGTGGACGCAGGGTTGTTGAGGCGATGTGTTCTGGAAACCGCAGCTGCCTGCCAAGATCAACTCTCCGTTGCCAGTCAGCTGCTGAGGCGAGGAGGTCAGCTGCTGATCTTGGCTGTGGGGTGTTTTTCTCTCCAGCTTTAACAAAGGTGATGCTCCTCTTTGGGCAGTGGTGTTTCCTGATAGTTATAGCTGAGGCTACTGTCTCTGCAACTGCTTTCAGGACTCGATCATACCAACTAGTGGTTTGATGCTCATTTATGCTCTGAATGTCACAAACAGAAAGCTCTTTCTCTCTAGGGATCCTTTACATAATGCTGTTGACACTTAAAACACAGTCTGAGCCTGTCAGTGGCAAAAACAAACACTTTTAGTGGATGTACACTGACGGTGCACAAATGCCCTCAGTGGTTACACTGCAGCCTGTCTCACTGCTGGTGTCTGCAGCGCCCTCCGTCAGAACGGGACCAATTTCAGAACTTAGTCACTTAGACATTAGAAGCTCTGGATCCAAGCTAAAAATACAGAAGTTACCCTTTAAGACAGGGAGACAGAATTCTGTCTTCTTTGTACCTTTTTTCCAATCATTTATTTACCTTTTATTTTACTGAATATAACCAAAATCAATCTTAAACCTGAGAGTATACATACATTTTTGTGCTGAGTTCAACCTCTGGCTTGTAAATTGAGCTGTTTTTCTCTAAGTAAGATATCAGGATAAGTGTAAAACAAGAAGTGTAATAGGGAGGATGATATTAATTTGCTTGTAGGATCAAAGACAAAGTGTGTAAAGTAAAATTCGGCCAGTACTTTGAGCCTTTTCAGACAGGTAAACAGGATCTCACCTGTGAGCTCTGAATGTGTAGATGGGCTCCACGTCTAAAGCAGCACATCTGAAAGATTAAAACCCAGAACAGAGTTTGTATCAACAGAAAATTAAAACACATTAAAACTCTAAAATATGATCAAATATGTGAGTAAAACAGAAGCAAAGGCCTGCCTCTAATAAAGCCTGTTACAGATCACTGCAGGTTAAGTAAATGTACAGTATATGAATGAATGAATGAATTATATTTTATATATATGTTCTAAAGTCTTACTTCTTGGCGGGCGCCGTCTTCTGGAGGTTCCACAGTTTGAGGGTGTGATCTTCGGAGGCGGTGACCAGGACGGGCTCCACCGGGTGGAAGGCCAGACTCCGCACCGAGTCAAAGTGGCTCCGCAGGGTGAACTTTGGGTTCCAGGTCTTCCTCAGAGCGTCTTTGTTGTTGGTGATCTGAGGAAGGAGGGACGAGTCTCACTTACAATCCATGTGAAGATGATACTTGACTCTTTAAAGCAGCATGACACAGCTCTGGATACTGATGGGTCAGCTGTAGGTGTCAACAAACTGTGTGCCAACACAACTGGACTGATTTTATACCAAAGAGTGTAAGAACATCTCTGGGGTAGTTTTCTCTGAAAGGACACCTCACATGTCGTTGTTTGGGACTTAGTTTGGATTTTAGCTGTAGGCTGTAATTTATTCATCTTATCCATCTGTCTGTGGAGACAAAGACTGTGGTCAGAGTTTAAAGTCCCAATCCTAATATACCCCTCAGCCCTCGCCCCTCGGGGTGGGGTGTCCTGGTTCTTGCTGGGATAGATGGATAGAGCAGAATGGAGGTTTTTCAGAGGCACACTCCAACAGTGTTATGAAAAATCATTGGCCAGATGGCTGCATGCCATATGTAACCTACAAATGTATTTTCTTTGTTCATAAAGATTTAAAAATTACAACTACCATTGTCTCAAAGTATTATTGTCCTTTACTTTATAACTAGAATCACCACCCTGTGGCTGTATGACTCCGCCCACCAGTCCACCCTGTGGTTGTATGACTCCGCCCACCAGTCCACCCTGTGGTTGTATGACTCCGCCCACCAGTCCACCCTGTGGTTGTGTGACTCCGCCCACCAGTCCAGTGTCTCTGACAGTCTCCATCCATGTCAGTGATAACATGGATGCTTCACACACAGAAGATCTATACAATCAGCACAGTTTCAAGATTAGAGTCACCAATTCAGTATCTGACCAAATGTCTCCCCTTCTGTTCCTGAGATATGACGTTAAAACATGATGATGTCACAGTCAAGCTGACCTTTGACCTTTTGACCTTCATTATTTTATCCTGTTAGACATTTGTGCCAAGTTTTGTCAGAATTAGCGTATGAGTTATTGAGTTTTGGCCATTAACATGTTTTGTGAGGTCACACTGACTTTCGCTTTGCCCTTTGATCTATGACCACCAAAATCTGATCAGTTCATCATTGAATCCAAGTAGATGTTTGTGCCAAATTTAAAAAATCCCTCAAGCTGTTCTTGAGATGTTGTGTTCATGAGAATAACATGGATGCAAGGTCACAGGGACCTTGACCTTTCTTTGACCCTTGACCACCAAAATCTAGTCCAAATGAATATTTGTGCCAAATTTGAAGAAATTCCTTCAGTGCGTTCTTGAGGAATCGCATTCACAAGAATGTGACAGGCAAGGTCACAGTAACCTTGACCCCTGACCACCAAAATCCTATCAGTTCATTTTTGAGTCCAAGTGAAAGTTTGTGCCAAATTTTAAGAAATTCGTTGTGTATATACATACGGACAACCTGAAAACATAATGCCTCTGGCCACGGCTATTGCCGGTGCGGAGGCATAAAATAAAACAGCTGAAACTGAATTTCATTTTTTATCCCTCTGTAAAGGAGGAGGCCTGAAGGGTGGAGCTGACAGAGGGTGGAGTTCAGTGGAGTTCGGTCAGAAACACTCTGGCTGCTGAAGAGTTTTCAGTGTTTCCTGCCTCTGATCCACCGTAAGCTGTCAGACTGTGTTCGTTTTACTCACGTCATACGCCAGGGTTTCAGCCTCGTTGGCGACCGTCAGTCCTGCCAGTTCTCCCAGTCCCAGCTCGTTAGAAACCGCCTCGTCCACTCTGCCCAGTATAAACGACTTCCCAGACGATGGCAGGAAGGTCATTGCCTCTACGGAGACAAAACAGATGGCTGGGTTCAGAAAAACATGACTGAGTGTGAGTGAGCATATTGTACAGTTCTCAAATATGAGTGACTGAGAAAAAGGGCAGGTTACCTTCTTCTGGGCGTCCCAATTCGTGCTCATTGAGTCTGGGTACAGCGGGGCGGGAGGGGGGTGTCACGGGAGGCTGCAGGGAGGGAATCTCCTCAGCATCCCGCAGGTTAGCCAGCATGTCCTGGAGCTTAGACCGGTTTGGTCCTGGAGGAGGAGGGTGAGGAGGAGAAAAGAGAACATGGGAGACAGAAATCAGAGGAGGAAACAAAAAAATGGTGTCAAGAAAAGGCGGCGGAACGATGTAAAGAAAAGGAGTTGAGGAGAGAAAGATGAAAAATGCACATTAGCAAAGTGAAGGCAAAATAAGTCTCGAGAGTTCAAACTGTCACAAAAAGGGAATGAAATCAGCATGAAGGATGAGAACAAAGCAGAAGATGATGCAGCAGCAGCTCTGCAGAGGATCCGACAGAGAAGATGAAGCAAATAAAAGCAGAGAAACAAAGTGACGATATACACAGGAATGAGAAGAATCTGCTCGAGAAGTGACACAGGTGAAATGTGGCAGCTGCTGTTTGGTGAACTGCAGAATTCATCATCACAAAGACATGAAGAAACAAACAGGGATATGAAGAGATGCACTGATATCGTTACTGGATATTATCATGATGCATCAACATCAGAAAACTGCACAACTGTGACATCATGTCAACAGCATAATCCATTTAAAGTGCAGACGATTACTGTTGTTTGTACACACACAAGGATGACTGATGGATTGGAACGCTAACGGTTCAATAATGGATCAGAGTAAAGGATGAGGTGTGTGTCTGATAACGGGAACATAAATGTGATGGTTGGAAGTCAGTGCATTCCTTTGAGAGTGTCGGGAAAAGTGCAGGAAATCTACATGAAGGTAGAAAATATAAAGAGGATAATGAAAAACAACAGATAAAACAAAAGCGACAGACGACACAGAGACACAGACGTCCACACTGGATTCAGTCAAACACTAAACCTCTGAGAAACAGAGAGGGAGAGTCATTGAGACAAGCTGTGTGTCTCAAATCACATACTTCCAGTAGTACACTATGCACTGCTTGTGTGGTGCGCTTATTTCACCAGGGTGGTGTTGTCTTAAATCACACACTGCCGTTTTGCACTTACAGGAAGTGACGACAGCTTTTTTGTTTTTAACCGCCTCTTCCACGTCTTTGTCTTCTTTTAAATCGGCGAATTGCAAACTAACTAAAAAATTCGACTCGTCCTTGCATGTTCTGTTCTTGTTGATGTGTTCACAGACGTCTCTTTTAAATTGTATGCACTGTTTTTTGTTGTATTTTTGGTAGCCTTGTGTAACATCTTGGCCAAGAGACTACAGATTAAAAATAGGCTCTTGGCTACTTGTGGCATTTTTATACCGAGTGTATTTGTTAACCTGCACTGCCCCCTCTCAAATAAAATAAACTGAAACTGAAGGTGAAGCATTACCGCCGACATTTGACCGCTATCTCCGCCTACACATAAACCAAACTTACTCTAGAATGTCAGTGCTGATTAAAATGTGCCAAGCTAACGTTAGCACTCGCATTATTGACTGCAGTACTAAATCATTACAGACCCAACAAACATTACTGACGGCTTCTCTTTGACAATAGTAGTGGTACTTAGTGCAAAAAACATGCACAGCTAACATCTGTAAAACGTGGCAGTGATCACTGTGACGTAGCTTCCACTACGTCATAAAGATGGTGACTGCCAGTACTACATTGCACTTTCCCGTACTGTGAAGTGTGAACGCAGAATGTTAAGTGTTTAGTCTGAAGTATGTGATTTGAAACACAACCAAAGGGTGGGAGGGTGAGATTGGAGGCTGATTTTTAGCTCAAGTCGAAAGGTGATGAGGGTGAGATTACAGGGTTATATGGTTGGTAAGGCAGAATACACACATCAGCTGAAACACTGAAAGATCATCTTGTTACAATAAAATGTTCTGCTGGAAACCTTTGGACCTGGAATTCATGTGGATGCCACTTGACATTCTCCACCCACCCAATACCATTACAGTACATCTTCTCATGGCAACAGCACTCCCCAATGGCAGTGACCTGAGGAACATGACAAAGAGCACAAGGCGCCGACCTGGCTTCTTTGGCTCCCAGATCCAAATCTGATGGCGCATTTGTGGGACAAGGCTGTATCCCAAAGGTCCTGAGTCCACACCTTGATAGGTCAGAGGCTGCACAGCGGAGTGGACTTGGTTCTGGCATTGATACAAGATTTCTGGGGGTATCCGGTGGTGTGTGGCACTGGGGGCAGACCCCCGATTTTTTGGCATTCAGGGCGGAGGAGGCAAATTTCCGTTTCCAACTTCCGTTTATATATAAGTAAATATGCTGAACCATTGTGATGGATTCAGAGTTTGCAGTCACGGCAATTATGTTCCTCCTCGTTAGTTCACCGCACGGACCGTTTAACCTGGCAACAACTGCAGCCGGCTCAAACGTGATTGATCAATATCACGCGGACTACAAACAGCCTAGCACCGGAAACCAGGGCTCTTCTGCTCTTCTTCTGGAGGCAAGATCTCCGGGGTTTGCCTGCAGACTCTATACTCACTGAACGTAGACTCTGTATATAGAGACTACCGGGGTGTTGACTACTGATCCTTCGAATCCTGTGGGACGTAAGATGGGTTACTGGCACGTACCACAGATGCTCCATCAGATTGGGATTTAGGGAATTTGGAGGCCAGGTTGACGCCTTGAGCTCTGTGACACGTTACTCTGGCCATTCTTGAGCAGTTTTGCAGAGAGACGTGACACATTGTCCTGCTGGAGGGGCCACTGCCATCAAGCCATCAACTTGCTTTGTAACAGTGTTTAGGTGGGTGCAGCGTGTCAAGTGGCATCCACATGAATTCCAGGACCACAGGTTTCCCTTTAGAACACTGAACTGTAACAAGATGATCAGTGTTATTCACTTCACCTGTCAGTGGTTCAATGTTTCGGCTGATGGGTGTATATGAGTTGGTCTATTAAAACTGAGGTCCTGCAGCTGCCTGAGTCTCCGTCAGGCAGAAAACATGCTACTCTCTCCTTCTGCACCGGGTCGGGCACAGTTAAAGATGGACTAAATGCGGGCGAGCAGGAGGTGAGAGCGAAAATGATCACAGATGCCTGATGTGTCTGTGGACGCTCTGCAGCTTCTGCCTGATCTGACAACTGACAAAATATGCAGAGGATGTTTGACAAAGCATCATTTCACAGCCTAGGATGCAGCTGACTGATAACAACAGGGCGGTTACTTTGGATATGTGACAGATGATTAGCGGAAAATCTGTTATCTTTGTGTCACTTTAAATTAAAGTAACAACTAGTGGGAGTTTACTGAGCGAGAGCTTTGCACATCTTAAAGGGACATTATGTAAAACAGGGCAGCTGGGATAGGCTCCACCCCCCTGTGACCTTGAATAGTAGGGCTGGGTGTCGCCACTGAAATCCTGAATCGATTCGATTTCGATTTGATTGGATATTTGGGATGTTTCAGTTACTGCTTAAACGTGAAAGAGATTCTCAGAGAGATAATACTGTACATTTTACAAGGAATTATCAGAACAGCAACAACAGTAATATTAGAACAGCATATTAAAGCTACTGAACAGGATAAGCAGTTACGGATAATGAATGAATGAATAATTACAGGTAATGGGTCGGTTCTGGTACTGCGCTTTGTGGGTGCGGGCAGATATGCAAAACTGGACCTGTGCAGGCCTCTGTTGTAGCATGTAAATGTATTGATTTTCTTTAACCAGACTATTGCAATAACAGCAAATACGCCAGATATAACTCATCGATTTTTGCTGCTACACAACACCAACAGATCGTTGAGTGTCAGTCAGTAAAAAGCCATTAACTGGCTGCACAACCCTGTAAGCAACAATGTGACTTTAACTTAAAGTACTTTAAGTAGCTGTAATGTGATTAAATGTTGTCTGACTTTTTAAGATACTGATCAACTTTCACATAATTGCTGATGAAAATATTAGCACAGTGAAGCCCTGAGAGACTGAGAGGAGAGGAAACATAAAAACAAAGAGAGTCAGAGGAACAGAAACCAAACGAGGATGAGGAGAGAGGATGAACTGCAGGCCTGCTACAGGACTTACTCTTTACCCCCTTCTTGCCCTTGCGTTCCTTCCTGTACTGCTCCTTGAGCTGGGCTATCAGTCCCTGGTCCACGTCCCAGGCCAGTTCACCCAGAGGAGACTGCTCTTCCTTCTCTACAGGCCAGCAGGAGGAGGAGGAGGAGGAGGAGGAGGAGGAGGAGGAGGAAGGTGGGGTAGAAACCTGTTGTAAGTGTCTGGATGCACTAGAGTACATAACCAACTTTACTCTGACAAACCTACTGAGGCAGACGGGATGAGGAGGGAGGAGGAAGGATCTTTTACAACCTGTTTCTGGGTCTTTTGTAGTTTTGGCCATAAATTCTTTCAGATATGATAACTTGGAGTTGCAGAGACTCCACTTCACTCATCTTTACACACAAGCAACCTAAACCACTGCTTGTGGAAAATGCAAGTAGATAAAGTAATATTGCTTTAAATAAAGTCACTTTCTTCCCACGAGGTGGACAAGAAGTTCAGTCTAATTGCTGTGTTAAAGGACAGTCCAGCCCCAAATCAAAAACTCATATTTTTCCTGCACACCAAGCCAACAGTCGCCCGTCAGTTAAGGCTGGGCTGTTGGTGAGCACCTGTTACCCTGGCTTTTGCCGTGTGTGTTCATCACTGGATTGTGTTATTAATGTGCTAACGGGCTAACTAGCATCAAGACGGTCTTCTGGTTTCCTTATTTATATGACGATTACAGACTACCGCCATCTGCTGGTATTACGAGTTATTTCCTCTCACGCAAGTGCAGAACATGCGTGCTGGTTAGCTTTTGGCTGTAGTCTTTGCGATGTGTTCATGTGCAACTTTTCGGTCGACACACAGGCGGCATGAAGTGGCCAAACAGTTGGCTTTCATTGCTGCTAGTTCTTTCATGTTGGTTTGGTGTGTCTGGACCTAGGGACTCCAAAGAACTAGCGGCAAAGAACAGCAACTGTTGCGTCACCTCACGTCGCCTGTGCCCCAGCCAAAAAGTTGCACATGAACCGCAAAGACTACAGCTGACAACGAACCAGCACGTATGTTCTGCGCCTGCGTGAGAGGAAATAACTCCACACCAGCAGGCGGCGGTGGGTAGGAAGTGTGCATCTACTCATGTATGAAAGGCTGGCACGCGTGACAGTGTGAGATATAAACATTAATGGCATCCTCCTTAGCTGAGCTGTAACGTTAGATAGCTTAGTGGTGCTAGGTGAGTTAGCAGTAGATGCACACTTTCTTCTGGTTGGTAGAATGAAAATAGTTCCTACATGAAACTGCTCACAACAAGGTCTGTGGATTATCTTTGGCAACTGGGTCATGATTTCTGGAAAGAGACTTTGAGTTTTTCAACTGTATTTTTTGGCGCTTTCAACCCCACATGTCAAGTGCCTTCTAGTTCCATCTCTGCAGCGGATTATTCCAACAATCGGCAACTTGACAAACTATCCAAACCAGGGATACTCAACGTGCCTTGCTTGGGGGCCACTTCTGCAAAGCGACAGGAGGCCTGGGCAGCAGCCCTATATATGTACACCGGGTGTTTCTAGGATTTTAGGACATTAAGGGCTTAGCTAGCACCTCTGTCATGGAAGTGGGAACCCTCTACTGGCACTTTTTTGATAAACAAGCTCTGTTTTAAAGCGTTTTTATGCACCCTGGCACCTTATGTATACTACAAATACAAGATAGACTGATAAATAGCATTACAGGTAAGAGGAAAAATATATGTTTATGTTTTAGGGGTGTACCGTCCCTTTAAGTACGGAACTGGAGTCAGGACATTGTTAGCCTAGCTTAGCGTAAAGACTAGAAACAGGCGGAAACAGCCAACCTGACTCAATCTTACGTCCCACAAGTCCAAAGCGAGCTTTAGAGGAGTCGATACGTGTATTTTTTTATACTTTGGACAGAGACAGGCTAGCTGGTTCCCCCTGCTGCCAGTCTTTGTGCTAAGCTAGGCTAACAACATCCTGGCTCCAGTAAAAACTTCAACGCTTTTTTTTCAAAGTAAACTAAGGCCAAATCTACAAAAGACACAATAAAAAGAATTAAATGCCTGTAATTTTCATCCTTTCTCAATAATTAAAAACCCTGGAGTGTGTGTACGACACAATCACCACTGTATTAGTGTGTGCTACTGATAAAAACCATGTAATGAAGAATATGAAACACTGTCAATGACACTTCGAGTTCTTCATGTTAAATTTTAGACTGAGCTGAGGAAACAAGAGGAACACCAACACAACATGCTAAAAGTTTCTCAAAATGTCAAACAAACAAATATGAAACATAAAGAAGGTGCAGGAAATTCGTGCTGGTGAAAGTGAAAAAACACAAATGAACACAAGACGAAACAAGATGAGACACAAGAAACAAACAAATGAAAACTAACAGCTGGAATCCAAATGGATCTCTGATGGTTGTCTGCAGTTCTGGAACTGAAACATTAATGCAGCAGAGCAACATGTTCTCTTCAAGATGCTATAAAACATTAAACTCAAACAGTGAAGCAAACAGCATTTCACCAAAATGATCATGTCTCTCATGGGGGATGATCCTGAGAGAGACAAACATTTTAAAGTCTCAGCAGCAACGTTAGAGCCCTAAAATCCACTGAGTTCCAAAAGTCAGCTTCTGTACTGAAGTTAAAGAAGCGACTCCACAACAAAGACACATGATGTCATTAATCTGAAGTCTCTGAAAGCAGCTCAGCCAATAATCATCCACCTGCAGAGCTGCAGCAGGTTCAGACATGTTGATGGTTAAAGGTTAACTGGTGATAAACAGAGGGAAAATATTCATTCTCTGGAACAAGAAGAAATAAAGCAGCATATAATATCCACTGGAGCTGAGTGTGACACACGGATGCTTTATTCTCAAGTATTTTGTTTTTGCTACGTGGTGGTTAAAGTGTTAAGGCCCATCAGAGAACCAGCGGCGACAACGATGGCCCCCTGTTGCATCGCCTGATGTCGCCATGTCTCGGCAAAAAAAGTTGCACGTGAACACATCACAAAGACTACAGCTGAGGGTCAATCAGCACGTACGTTTTGCACCTGTGTGAGAGGAAATGACTCTTCACACCAGCAGATGGTGATTGTTTGTAATCGTCTTTCAAAAAGAAAAGCCAGAAGACTGTCTTGACGCTAGTTAGCCAGTTAGCAGTCTCAGTCCCTTGTGATTGAAGCTCTTTGTTTACTTTCCTCACTTCCATTTCTCTTCACGTGCTGAGCTGAACTGCCAATCAGAGTATTTCTTTCACCGACAGGCTTCACCACCAATTCAACATGCTAAATTGGCATTGGCAAATTGACATGCTAAGTTTCCATCCTCACGGTGTGCCGGTGTCAGACGGTGGGTCGCTGCTGCTGTTGCTGGCTGTATGTGCTTATGCCGCGCCCACATACACATTCTCATTGACTGATGAATTGGCGCTGGTTATTTATATTATTGTGGCGTATTGATTATGAATACAGTCCATGTGATGCTGGTTTTGTTTCATCACTGTAGCCAGTATCTCACTATCACTATCCTCATTCAGATTTTAAGAAGCTACAAATTATATTCAGCCACAAAATAAGTCTGAAAAGCTGCAAATCAGAACAGAAGCACAGAGAGTTGTTGACTAGAGATGATACGCCGTCTCATGGTGGTCACTTCCTGTCAACGTTACAGATCAGAAGCACAGAGAGTTGTTGACTAGAGATGATACGCCGTCTCATGGTGGTCACTTCCTGTCAACGTTACAGATCAGAAGCACAGAGAGTTGTTGACTAGAGATGATACGCCGTCTCATGGTGGTCACTTCCTGTCAACGTTACAGATCAGAAGCACAGAGAGTTGTTGACTAGAGATGATACGCCGTCTCATGGTGGTCACTTCCTGTCAACGTTACAGATCAGAAGCACAGAGAGTTGTTGACTAGAGACGATATACCATCTCATCCAGTGACACTTGAGTGAACCAGCAGGTTTTAGAACGTTGCAGAATGGCAGGTGTAGAACTAGTCTGACAAGGACTTAACAGCTCTCCCTTCTGGAGAATCAAAAAGTAGAAGTTCTCGTCTCTGTGTTCGCAAGTGTTATGAATATAAAAATTAGAGATACAGATTTGCAGCTGTCACTTGAGTGAAAGGATTTGCCTTCAACTCCTCCTGACAGCTGAGCTGGTGCTGAAAATAAACTGGGTGTGCAGATGGTCTGAGGGCTCATGAGGAGATCCAAAGATAAGAAACGTGCAGAAATCACTGCTCCATAATGACTGAGCCGAGACAAACAATGGGCCTCATCATCCGTCCTGGTAGCCTGGGGCGAGTGATGTGTCGGGTCGTGGAGGTGGCGTGGGTTCAACAAGAAAAGCCTTCAGAAACCATAAATGTGTTTCATAACGCAGCCGAACATAGAGAGACTGTTTTTAACCGTGTGTTCAGCTGGTTTATCCTCACTGTCTGTGACTCTTAACAGCAGCACGGCAGATGATTGTTTCACAGCTCAGAATAAAAAGATAGAGAAATATCCACAAAGAGTTTTCCTCTCGGGGCTTTAACTCCTTGTGTGTGTGGTGAGACCTGCTGCACTGAGTCAGCACTCCTTTACAACTATCTGGACTGTGAAGTGTTGAATCACAAACTGCGTGGGGATGCTTTTTGTCATCGGCCGAATGACACTGGATGCGTTGCTAAGAAACGGTAGAAAAAGGGGGATTTTGTGTAAACTGCGGGGGCCGCCGGGTCGCCAGCTGGGAACTTCATTTTGTAAGGAGAGTTTTATATATATTGACAGGAAATGCGTCGGTGCAGCAGCAGCCTTGTGCTGCCACTCACGAACACATTTAAAATAAGATGTTTTAATTCTGCGTGAAGCAGTCAGACTGACCCTGCAGATGAATGGCAGCATATTCACCTTGATTTATACGTCAATACAAAGTTTCTCTGCTGAGAAGATTTCAGGTTTGTATTGGTGGTTTTTTACTTTTTCTATCTGCTGCAGACTCTTGACTTTATACTTTTTATTGGTTCACTGAAGTAGAAGACATGAGTGTGAATTTAATACAAAAAATAGTCAAATTCAGATTATTTTGACTGTTGTCATATTTAAAAGTGCAATGTCTAATGCCTGGCAACATGCTTTAAACTATTAAGAGGCAGCTTTTCCCTCCAGCCAACTACGGCTGGACAAGAACATGCAAACTGACCAAACTGCTCAAACTATGAAAATTGGTCAGAATCACACAGCTTCTTTACGTGAGGCGGTGTTAGCAAGAAAACAGCCACATTAAAACCATAAATCAAAACTATCTAGGATGTTTTTCAGTACGGTTTGTGGTGTCATTAGTTGAATCATCTGTGCTTCATGTGTCTTCTTGATTGTCTTTGCCTTAAATCAAAGATTTTGGGTTTTGGACCTCGCACTATTTGGCTGTGGACGTATTTTAGCTTTGACCAACACATGGTGCACGATAACAATTAACATCACAGACCTGAGTGGGCGACGAGCAGTAAGCCTGAGAGCTAGTTTAGCCTTGCTAGCTTAGCTTGGCTGTATACCGGCCTAAAGTAAAGTACCGTGGATTTCAGACCTTGTATTGTCTGAACTGGGACCCATTCTTGGTCATGCTTGAACAGTGAGCACTGACTTTGACCAAATGGGGCTGGTGAGCCTGCTGGCTAGCTTGGCCTGGTTGGCTTGGCTGCACCTGGCTGTGTTGACACAGGTAGCAGCTGTGAGCTTTGTTTTGCTTTCTGCAGACGCTGTTTAGTCGAACACATTGCACTGAGCGAGCAGAAAGGGACCAAAGCAGGCTTTTAGAAAACTACGGGAAAAGAGGTATCTCAAATACAGATGTCAACAGTTAACCATTGATTTACTAACCACCGTCCAGAGGAGACTGGAGGGTGGACAGTGGGCGCCATGTTTCCACCTGATAATGTGACCAGCTGTCTGTCAGCAAAACCAACAGAAACTAAAATAAAAGGCAAAATATTTACAACAAAAAACATTATAATTTCACCACCTGTAAATGGAAATGCAGCCCAAAACCTCAATGAGTCAACAGAGTGCTGCACTAAAAGGAAAGGTCTCTTGTATTTCACATCGTTTTGCGTTGTTGTTTTTCCCCTTAAAAATTAACTGGTTAGTTTCCAGTTGATGGGTCTTAGGCTATCAAAAGAAAAATTAACCGTAAGTGACATCCCTAATCTCCAAGCAACAAAAACTACAACTGAACTTTATCTCGTCTTCCTCTCATGTTGGCTGTAGATAATGTTCTTTTTTGGAATATTTAAAACTTAAATTCTGCCCATATCTCACACATTGCACCTTTAAATGTCTTCTGGATTTAATTTCCAGCTAATCAGTGAAATCTGCAGGTGTTTGGTGTAAAATCCTGAGCGCATGATTAAAAGCCCGTCACCTGAATGTTTTTAATGTCCCCTCGTCTTACCCCACTCTCCGCTGTCCTCCCCGCTCCTGGACTCCGGAGATCCGTCCAACTCGTCTGGACTCGCCAAGAAATCAAAACCCTTCAGAGCCTCCTCCGTGTCGGGGTCGTCGCTGAGGTCAGAGGTCGTGGACGAAGGGGTAGACGACTGTTTCTTCCTCACCATCTGTTAAAAGTTACAAAAATGAGGAAGACCATTGAAAATCTGTCTCTTGTTGTTGACAACATCAGACAGGAAATGAAATCACAGGTTACCACTGTCCGTCTTCAGAATGAGAGCTGCAGGTAGAAGAATATTATTTTAACAACTGCACGTAGGAGGTCAACTCTGGGCTGCGACTTTGTTTGCTTTACATATTAAGAGCTGTGATTTGTGTTTACGTTTCACTGTGAGGTTTAACAGAATGAGTTTGTCAAAGGACTTAGTGTGTTAATGTCTTACTGTAGCCAGGTCTAAGATGGTCTTATCCCGTCCTTCACTGTCCTCCTCCTCGTCCTCGTCGCTGAATTCTGCTGCAGCGCTCTCAATGAACTTGAAGGCCTCCAACACGGTGGCTGAGTCGGACATGTCCGGTTTACTGGAAGGAGAGATTAAAGAGAGAAGGTGAGTGTAGAGGTCAAAGCAGCGAGAAAATAAAAACATCTAAAATAAATACGGTCTCATCTCATACCTGACCATGCCGCTGTCCTTCAGGGAGGACGGTTCGGTGCCGTTGACCATCGGTTCGACTTTCTTCTCTGAGGGTTTCTCTCCTGAGTCTCCGGTCAGACCGAGCAGCGCTCTCACTCTCTGAGACTTCACATCCAGGATGGTGTCTGTGTATCCGACCTCCTGCAGGTATCTGAGGGTGGAGACAGAGACAGAGACAAGAGACAGGTCAGAGGAGGCTCAGGAGTCAATGTGAAGAAAAGGAGACAATCCAAGGTTTAATCATCTCATGATAAGCCAGTCAACATCAGCCGCCCAGGAGGTGCCCCGGGCTTTGAAGCCAATTTTCATTGCGGCCAAACAGTGGTACTTCAATTTCCGGGGTCCGGCTCATGATGCCACTGGGCCCACGAAGACTTACACTGGAAGAGAGACCAAGTCTGTAAATCAGTGGATGAATATTTTTGAGCATCACAACCCCCTTGAAATGACTTGTTTCACTATCAGGATTTGATCCATTTGGTTTTTTCTAACGTAGCTGCATGATTAAATCATTTTATCCCCATTCAAGATAGCGGTGCACTAAACTGGAAGTAGACAGCCGGGCCGGTGGAGGTCTCTAATGCGCCCGCTCCATGGGACCAATGATGCAGAAGCAGTGCTGATCATCTGCGTAATCTCACACCACAGAAACAGAGCTTTTTTGGCTTCATGTGCCACTGAGCATCTTTCATAGGAATCAACAGAGCCCCACCTCCGATGCTATCCGGGGGTCTCCTTTATAAATATTGTGCATGGACAAAACGAGGCCTGAAAGAGGCGTACGCCACTCCCCACGCATCAAAACTATGAATGAACACATGTGGAGTTATGTACTTAACAAAAAAAGGTGAAATAACTGAAAACATGTTTTATATTCTAGTTTCTTCAAAATAGCCACCCTTTGCTCTGATTACTGCTTTGCACACTCTTGGCATTCTCTCCATGAGCTTCAAGAGGTAGTCACCTGAAATGGTTTTCCAACAGTCTTGAAGGAGTTCCCAGAGGTGTTTAGCACTTGTTGGCCCCTTTGCCTTCACTCTGCGGTCCAGCTCACCCCAAACCATCTCGATTGGGTTCAGGTCCAGTGAGTGGAGGCCAGGTCATCTGCCGCAGCACTCCATCACTCTCCTTCTTGGTCAAATAGCCCTTACACAGCCTGGAGGTGTGTTTGGGGTCATTGTCCTGTTGAAAAATAAATGATCGTCCAACTAAACGCAAACCGGATGGGATGGCATGTCGCTGCAGGATGCTGTGGTAGCCATGCTGGTTCAGTGTGCCTTCAATTTTGAATAAATCCCCAACAGTGTCACCAGCAAAACACCCCCACACCATCACACCTCCTCCTCCATGCTTCACAGTGGGAACCAGGCATGTGGAATCCATCCGTTCACCTTTTCTGCGTCTCACAAAGACACGGTGGTTGGAACCAAAGATCTCAAATTTGGACTCATCAGACCAAAGCACAGATTTCCACTGGTCTAATGTCCATTCCTTGTGTTTCTTGGCCCAAACAAATCTCTTCTGCTTGTTGCCTCTCCTTAGCAGTGGTTTCCTAGCAGCTATTTGACCATGAAGGCCTGATTGGCGCAGTCTCCTCTTAACAGTTGTTCTAGAGATGGGTCTGCTGCTAGAACTCTGTGTGGCATTCATCTGGTCTCTGATCTGAGCTGCTGTTAACTTGCCATTTCTGAGGCTGGTGACTCGGATGAACTTATCCTCAGAAGCAGAGGTGACTCTTGGTCTTCCTTTCCTGGGTCGGTCCTCATGTGTGCCAGTTTGGTTGTAGCGCTTGATGGTTTTTGCGACTCCACTTGGGGACACATTTAAAGTTTTTGCAATTTTCCGGACTGACTGACCTTCATTTCTTAAAGTAATGATGGCCACTGGTTTTTCTTTAGTTAGCTGATTGGTTCTTGCCATAATATGAATTTTAACAGTTGTCCAATAGGGCTGTCGGCTGTGTATTAACCTGACTTCTGCACAACACAACTGATGGTCCCAACCCCATTGATAAAGCAAGAAATTCCACTAATTAACCCTGATAAGGCACACCTGTGAAGTGGAAAACCATTTCAGGTGACTACCTCTTGAAGCTCATGGAGAGAATGCCAAGAGTGTGCAAAGCAGTAATCAGAGCAAAGGGTGGCTATTTTGAAGAAACTAGAATATAAAACATGTTTTCAGTTATTTCACCTTTTTTTGTTAAGTACATAACTCCACATGTGTTCATTCATAGTTTTGATGCCTTCAGTGAGAATCTACAATGTAAATAGTCATGAAAATAAAGAAAACGCATTGAATGAGAAGGTGTGTCCAAACTTTTGGCCTGTACTGTACATTTTTAGTTTTTCTTGCCCAAGGATACTTTGACATGCAGACTGGAGGAGCTGGGGATTGAACTGACAATCTTCTGATCAATGGATGACGTGCTCGACCTCTGAGCATATCTTTCCAACTTTACCATGCTGACTGAGGCAGGAAGTCACTATCCCCACTTCCAGGTCTTCATCAGATTACCAATTCATAGTGGAAGAGGAAGAATTTTTACCTGAATAGGATGTTTCTTTCAAACGTGTTCATACATTAATCCCAGCTATGATATATAAATTTTTTAAATATGAAACTTTTAGGTTATTTCTGAATCATGTACTGTTATTAAGCCTCCTGGACAACTAGAGTTTTCAGTTGTATATAAATCTAGTCTTTAAATTTTACTGGCTTAATTTAATATTCATAAATGGAAATCTATGGATAAAAGGCCATTTCATCGTAGTCACAGACTGACTCAGCTCCTTTTACATAAATCCAAAGAATGTACAAATTATAATAATAGCTCTCTCCTTACTAGGTATACTCTACATTTATTATATATCAGAAGAAACTTGTACATATTTGTCTGAGTCAATGACTGAGGGAAAAAATTTAAACTTTTATGTTTCTGTTTCTGAGATTTTAAACAAAAATCCAGCTGTTTTCTTTCCTCCCTGCAGAGTGACATCCCCACTGATGGATGCAGATTCATCTCATCTGTCCAAACTAAATTCTGATGCAGGCATGACTTACATCACAAAAATGTGGAGGATCTCCACAAAGGAAGTGACAAATATGTAACGAGTAGCAAAAAAAATAAGTGACAAAAAAATGCAAATATCCCAGCAGGCTGATCCAGATGTCAGATGTTGGTATTAATAGTGAACAGCGTTCCATCGGTCTTCTCTGAGTTCAGCAGAGACCTCCATATAAACGTCCCTGTGTGGCCTGAGTGTCGCTCTTCATTCTGTTTTTCAGTGTCTTCCTGCAGCGTTGGTGCCTTGCTGTACCCACTGAGCTACACAACACCACAATTATATCAATGGAGCAGTATCTTTAAAGGGCAGTGCCACCAAGTTTAGGACCTTATACACACTTTCTGTCCTTCCTGTGGTCTGGTAAAGTTCAGTCAATGTTTGACAAAATAAACACAGAGAAACAAAACTGAGGAAATCTAAAGTATTTGGAATAAAACTGACAAGAAAATTCGGATTTTGCTCAACTGACAATAAGTGAGGTGCTGGTTTCTTTGACCTGTAACGCCACAATCACTCACCTTTATATCTGTTAGAAATGGATATAATAAAAAGACATGTTAAAATGTGCACCGAGTCAGTGAGTCAAGCTTTTTCTGGCTGATTTTAAGCTTTAGTTAAGACTTCCTTTATTTCAAATACTCACAAAATACTTGAGCAAAGAAGTAAAGTTTACCCCTTATCTTACGGTATCCAATCAGAATTGAGCAACAGACCTAAAAGACGCAACTCAGAAGAAGTTCAAACTAGTCTTTGTACTGTACCTTCACCCCGGGACGCCAAGAGAAGCAGGAGCCTGAGAGCAGCGTTTTATGGAGAAGTTTTATCCTCAGTGGACGGAGGTTTAATTCTGAATAACGACTAGTGTGTTTGTTCACAGAGACACAGAGAGAGAGGAAGGTCGGCCTCCCTCGCTCTGTACCAGCCTCTCCGATCGCAGGAGGCCTCGACTCGTCCACACAATCCTCCATTCACTGTCACCACACAGCCACTGCTGACACACACACACACACACACACACACACACACACACACACAGTCAAAAGAAAGAAGCAAAAAACACCAACCACAATCACAAACAGAAGCTCGCAGTTTTCTATTTCTTAACAAAAGTGTCACCTGGTTACATGTTTATATTTGTTGTGTCACATGTCGCCACTGTCCGATTTTTCAGCATCGCTGCGTTTCAACTCTCCAGAAAAAAAAACAAACAGCTGCTTTATTGAATTTTTATCCTCAGATTGTCACATCCCGACTCCTGTATTTTGACTTCCTGGTGGGACTGTAAGCAACTGAAGTTTTTAAAAAATCTTGACCTTCAGCCTTAAAAAAAGGTCTCCGTTATAATGACCTTGGTGTGGACAACTGGCTAAATAAATATCAGTTTAAAAAAATATCTGTATACCAGTACGTGCAGACAGGGTCTTTTGACTTGTGTGAAAAAGTGGCCTTCTTTCCCAGAAGCATCTTTAGAACAAGATGATGTAAAATCCATCTTAAAAATGTTTTTAACCGTTTCACAGCCCAAATGACCATTTGTATATCAGTCACTCACGGAGTGTTACATTGAATTTGGGAACTTTTTTTTGCAGCGGTGGCACGGTGGTGCAGTGGTCAGCATGTCACCTCACGGCAAGAGGATTCCTGGTTTGATCCCAGGGTAGGGGAGCCCCTCTGTGCGGAGTTTGCATGTTCTCCCTGTGTGGGTTTTCCCCGGGCACTGTGGCTTCCTCCCACAGTCCAAAGACATCCGCGTTTAGACGACAACGTTTTGATAACAATCGCCGTGCACACGGATCCGCAAAAATGACCAAAAATGCTGCAGTATACATGCCAGGCCAGTAGTTGGCGGTGCAACGCTCACGCTTCCTTCTACAGAGCAGCGATGTATAAACAAACAAAATGGCAACCGCACGAACGTTTGTCTGGACGGACGACGAGGTGGAGTTGCAACAGTAAATCTACACTATGATGGGGAAGCGTTGATAAATCCAACAGGGTGAGCAGCACAAACAGAGCTCGGGAGGCCGCCATTGTTGTTGTAATGGTCGACTTTCTCGCACATGCCTAGTGACTGGAAGCGTAATGCGCATGTGCGGAAAGTCTCCGTTTTCAGAGGAACTGCATATTGCAAGTTTCCATGACAACGGAGACGGTGCCGTTTCCAAAAAATTGCACTCTGGAACCTGTTTTCAAAACGTTGCGTTTTCAGGCACCCAAAACGATCGACCAAAACGCAACTAAAGTTTACCGTTTGGGGTTGAAATCGTTGTCATATAAACGGGACCTAAATTGTCCGTAGGTGTGAGTGTGAGTGTGAATGGTTGTCTGTCTCTGTGTGTCAGCCCTGTGACAGTCTGGTGACCTGTCACAGGTGAACCCTGCCTCTCACCCAGTGTCAGCTGGGATAGGCTCCACCCCCCTGTGACCCAACAGGATAAGCGGTTACAGAAAATTAATGAATGAATGAATGAACGAGGAACTAAACTTCAAACCAAGCGGCAACCTCCAAGGCTGAAAAATGAAGCAAACATCCAACTGCAGTTCCTCTAATGGCCACTTGAGGCTGGCTCCAAGAGCGAGTCGATCCCCTGAGACCCCCAGTGTTAAAATGTCCAACTTTAAAGCAGAAGTTAACATGTTTACAGCCTGGTACAAAAAAACAGTTTTGGCCTCTGTAGCTAATTTCAACATTCATGACAGCTGTACGGGGCTGAATTTTTATATGCCTCACCTGTTTCCATTTTATTAAGGCCTAAAGTTACGCATATTTAAGGTTGGGCATCTCTGAGTGACAGGCTGTCTGCTGACATCGTCCTCGGCCTCTCAGTCAGATCAGAGATATTGGATAAAGCGAGATACCCCACTCAGCTCACTTCCTGATTCAGTGACGTCAGCGCCACGCCCCTGTAGGAGACTTGCGGCAGCTCTGAATGTATTGTCGTCAATGAGGAATGAACGTGATCACAATTTATGGTCAGTTCTTTTGCCCTGTAGTCACAAAAGTAAATATTGGGTTCGTTTTCCACAAGCCACACATCTTCCCAACATCCTGACACTAAAGCTGCATTTTTCATCCACACAGATCAAGAGAAAGTTAACTTTGTTTGAGCCCTGTCCGTCTCAGAAAACAAGTTCTCGCGAGATCTTGTGATCTTGATAAACAGGCGGTAAAATCACAGTTAGCTTACAAACAGTTATTTACCGCTAGTAATAAATAAAAAATGCCCAAGCTTTGTGCAGCAATAGGCTGCAATAATAGGAAGAATGTATTTTCATTCCACCTGCTTCTCGATCCGCATACACAGACATCCACAGCGCCTCTGTTCAACACGAGGTGGTGGGGGGGTTGAGGGAGAACAGGCTCTGACTGGAGGGAGAGCTAACCACGCCCACTTAGGAGACTGGAAGAGTAACCGTTTTCTTAACATTGGATAAGCCTACGGTGGGGTATCTCCTTTATCCAATATCTCTGGTCAGATCCACCCCTCGCCCTTCCACAGCGCCACCTTCTCACCCAAATATGGTCACTTCTGGCTCAAAACAAAAAAAAGATGGCGGCGGTCTTACTGCCAAAGTTGAGCCTTCAAAACAGGAGTCCACAAACCACAGGGTGATGTCACAGAAGCTACGTTAATTACCTTTACAGTTTATGCTTCAAATGCCAGATTCCATTGACTGATACGTGTAATAAATTCTGCCACTTGGCCTGTCTATTTATTATCATTATAACTTGCTTTTATTTTTTATTGTTTACAATAAATCACTCAGGTGCAATATCTATACTTCCATCAGTCAATAATGTAGAATCTCTTTATTATATTTTGCTTTGTTTTGATGCTTTGTGTTTTTATACTATTTGCTTATATACTGCTCTTTCTTTTTGTACAGTTTACTTATTTTACGGACTTATATACTGCTTTGTCACATAGATGTTACAGGATTCCTCAATGAACATGGAAGCCGCTGATCTACTTCTGCCTTTTTTGGTATAGTTTCACTTTGGTGAATTCGTACTAACCCTTTAAAACACCAAAGTATTGAGGCTGAAAACAGTTTAAAAAGAAAAAGAAATGCTTGGATTTCAGTGGGTTAATCTGACTTCCACACAGGAACATGGGTTATAAAGGGCTGCAACTGTTAGCTGCACATTGAGCTTCATTTTCACACTGAACAGTTCCAAGTATGAAGCATTTCTTTGTGTCATTTACAACTCACACTTTGTGATGTATTTTTAATAAACAACACGGCTTACAGACACTATTCAGTATTCAGCATCAGCTTCAGCTCCACAGACAGCAGATGTTAAGAGGCTCTTAACTGCTGCTTTGGGAAACGTGTTAAGAAATTAAAGAGCGTTTGTAGACACACTTGTAGAAAACACTCTTAACTTGTAAGATTGATCACTGTTGAGAGATGAGGACTGAAAGGATCACATCTGTAGTTTTAGATGTTTTATTAGAAGAAATGAAACAAACTGAAACCAATCTGGAAGGAGTGAAACTGATCCAATAACTGATGGATGATTTACAGAATGGTCAGCAGGAATATAAACACGTGATTTGTTTAACCTGAAGCTGAAACATGAAAAATTCTGGTAAAATCAGGCACGTGCACAGATAGACCCCAGGTGGCGCTCAAGTACCTGCCCTTTTGGCCTCTGACGAATTAAATGCCCTGTTTTGCAAGACATTTTTTTCTAATTTTATATTTTAGTTTTTAAAATTTTGGACCACGGTACCACTTCTCATTTAGAAGCGTGTTTTAATTCTGCAAGGCCGCAAGAGCCCGTGCTGCTCCCTCTTCAACTTCCCTTGTTGTCACAGCCAAGTTAAAGCATGCGAAGCTGCCTTCATGGACATTCAGGTAATGATAGAGTTTGCCTTGAGCTTCCGTATCGTTTGTAACTGCTGTGAGATTAAACCACCATTAAAACGTCTCAGTATAGTCAGACTAATAGAGGCAATAATAACCCACCATTAAGTTTAAAAACAAGTTAGCTAGTCTGGTGTAAAATCACAATGTCTCCCTCCAAGTCTCTGGCAGTTTCCACTTCACCCGCTGCCCGGTGTGAGTGGAGACAGAAGTCGAATTGCTTTCCCACTCCCACTTAAAAAAACAACGTTATTTTGAAATAAGGTTTAAGTTTCAAATTACATTGCTTTATGGGTTTGGTGCTGCACATGCTGTGCACAAAGAGTGCAGAGAAGGAGAGAAGGAGTGTGGAGCTGCAACCCTGGTTATAGTTAAAACGCTTTCTGCCTCAACCAGACAAAACTTTAGGAGAACCTTGTGTTCATTTTGACAGCTGTTTTAGATTTAGTCTGAGTCTTAAAATGAAAATATTTGTTAGTTTTAGTCACATTTTAGCCATTTTTATCCTTCTAGTTTTAGTTGATGGAAATTCACAACATTTAATAGTCAACTTTAAGTCATTACATTTTCTATATCTGTTTTTATTTTCAAACTAACCCAGTGAGGCTGATTCATGGATCATAAATCAGACTCAAGGTGACAGGTTGTATAAAATAATGTGTGTGTCATGTCTCCAGCAGTGTGTGACAGGTTTAAGGGCTGATCTACGAGCACACACTTACTGATCATCATCTGAAAAGCTCAACATCTCTCTATTTATGCTCTCAACAAATAACTAATGTGAGCCAACTAGGATTTGTCCCCAGGTTCACTGTAAACTCTGACTTATCCATGTGACTGTTTAGAAGCAGAAACATAACTTGTTTCTTCATGTGCAACATGTTAGTCTGGAGGTTTAAACTGGTGTCCTCTCACAGAGTTGGTGATTCAAACTAAACTTTTATCTCTGTCAGAGAAAACTGATCTGAGTTCAGACTGTTTACTTACAGCACAGCTACACTCACAGATAACTGAGCCTCCTACCTGCCTGTCAAACACCATCAACCCACAAACCTTCTCCAGTCCGGACTGAGTGGAGTCCTGCTGGGTGAAGCTGTGAAGGCTGCGAGCGGAGCTAGCTGCTAACTGCTAACAGCCACCGCTGCAAGTAACAAACTCCACAAATCCATTCAGCAGCTCCACCATCCACAGTCAGACACACACGGCTGATTATTTACTGCTGGATTACAGCTCACAACTCGCACCAACCTAAACATCCTGGTGCAGACTATTTACTGGAGTTTACCAGCCTGATGCTCATCAGGCATCTGAAGATAATCACAAGCACGGCCATTATTGACTTTCAGTGTCTGATAGTCCACCACCAACATTTTCATCTGATCTCATCAATGAAAATCAATCATTGTAGTTTTTATTATCAAGATCTATTTTAGCTCATCGTTGTCTTTTTTTTTGTCCTGGAAAAAAGGTCGTTGACAGAAAACCTTCTTCATAGTTTTCATCAACAAAATGTACACTGGAAGATCCCTGAAATTCACCTTAATGCATAAGTAAGAATAATAACATTAATAATAATAACATTATGAAAGGTATTATTTTGTCACCTATCAGCACTTTTACTTTTGATATTTTAAATAAATTTTGCTGCTGATACTTCTGTTCTTTTACTGAAGTAAAATTAGGAATGCAGGACCTTTCTTTGTGTTCTTATAGCGTAGTATTAGTACTTTTACTTAAGTAAAGGATCTCAGTACTTCTTCCACCACTGTCAGCTCCAACTGGTCACAGTGGATTAGTCTGTTTGATTCCCATTAAAAGTGTTAATCTCCATTAAGAAGATTGACTCTGCCGCTTTCTGCTTTTTGTTCTGAGACACACACACACAGTCAGCTGTCCCATGACACTCTGAGAGTCTAAATGAGTGTGTGTGTTCATGTGTGTGTAAACTCACTGTCTGAGCAGCTGGCGTCCTTGTTTCCAGCTGAGCTGATGGCTGCTGTTCGGAGGACTGGGAGCCTCGCTGTCATTCCCCTCATCTGTGTGTGAGACAGAGAGAATTAGCAACATGTTTCTATCCATTCATTCATCCAGACTTCGTTCTCCCCAGACACATCATCCAGCTCCTCCTGGGGATCCTGACATGTCCCCAGATGGGCTGTATAATCCCCCAGAGAGAGTTTCTGGTCTGAAACAAACTCTTCTCTTCATTAGATGAGTCCAGAATACATCCACAGGGAGGCGTCCAAGAGGCATCCTGATGCTGATCCACCTTAACTGGCTTCTCGCAACACAAAACTCACGTGAGGAGAGGACAGAGGCTGATCTTTGGCCGAAAGGTTCTTCATTCTTTGTGTGTGAAATCCTTAAAGCGTTAAGCGAAATCAAAAGTTTGAACATCTAATCCATCTGCTGATGAAAACCATGTGATACAGTTCAAAGTTCCAGAATAAACCAGTAAGTGGACCTTGAGTTGAAATTGTTTTGGTGGACGTACAGTCATAAATAGCCAATCTTTGTTCTGTGGGATAATCCACAGTTCACACTACACGACTTCTAACACCGTCAGATTGCTGCAATGTTCACACAACACAACTTGCAGTTTTGTAATCGTAAGGGCCGAGACACACCTAACTGACTTCAGAGAACTAGCAGCAACGAAAGCCAACTGCTGCATCACCTTACATCGCCTGTGTCTCGGCCAAAAGTTGCACATGAACACAACAGCCGACGTCCAACCAGCACATAGGTTCTGCACCTGCGTGAGAGGAAATAACTCCACACCAGCAGACAGCGCTAATCTGTATGCGCCATTCAAAAAGGGAAATCAGAAGATCATCTTGATGCCAGTTAGCACAATAACAACACAATTCAGTGTTGAATGAACAGAGCATATTTACCGTACACCAGTGAACAAACACAAACCATCAGGAAATGTTTCTGCTAAAAAAACCCAATCTGACCTTATGTAACAAGTTTGTTTCGTTCTCACTCCCTCTGGACTTTAGCTCTTTGTTTACTTTCCTCACTTTTGTTTCTCTTCTTGTGCACTGGGCTGAACAGCCAATCAGAGTAATTTTGTTCACCGACAGGCTGTGCCGTCTCCAATGCTGATTCAACATGCTGATTTGGCCAAAACAAAAATAAAAAAGCCGACAGGGGCCAATGAGGGGCAACGGTGTGGGACGCACTGCAAATATTAGGGTGACAGACGCTCACTGACAGCCCAACATTGACCAACAGCTTGGTGATGATTGGTCAGGGAACAACATCAGGTCTGTAATATCTCTTGGTCTAGTCACAGCAAGCATTTCCGATTCTATGATCTCATAATCCGACACAGTGATCATTTAAGGAGGCTTTCACATCAGGGACTCCAGCCTGGATCCAAGTTTACTCGACCCTGAAGTCCAGTTTGTTTGACTGATGTGAACACTGTGTACCGTACTCAGACACGGTTTGTGGATCCATATCTGGGTCTACTTGCAAAGGTGGTCTTGAGAACAGGTCATGTGTACTCAGGTGTGAAAACCTACTGTTCTAAAACACGGAAGTGGACTGCTATTTAAATGTGAATAGCAGTCGGTGAGCAGACTTTCTAAGGTATTTCTCAGCACTGCTGTTCCCCTATGAAATCTGCATATGCCCGCAGCTCGTGTCGATCTCATCCTTTGAACTGCACAGCCACGAGTGATAAAGTGGGGAGGAAGGCAAGAGGGTCGTTCTCCACATTGTCTTCAAAGAAAAAACAATAGTGGGCATGATGGGAGGATTGACTCCATTGTGTGGGCTTGGGATCTTGTGATTGGTGCTGTTTTCTTAACCGTGGCGACAACATAAACGAATGTCACATAGATGATGTACTTGGTACTCGGGTATGAAACATAATTTTTACACCACATTACTTATGTGAAAGGCCCTGAACAGCAGCCGGGTTCGACCACGAACAATCACCACTCAGAAGGCAGCATTTCAATTTTTAAAACATTTCAGCAGATCATCAACAGAGAGAACACAGACGGTTTGTCTTACCTGAATCATAACTCGGAGGTTTGATTTCTCCCTGGTTCAGTTCTGTTCCATATTTCAGCTTATGGTATTTTGCCCTGAAGGTGACACACACACACACACACACACACAATAAATTTCCTGTTAAATGATGTCTTTTTATTTTTCTTAAAATGCTCAGTGAACAACAATAACATTCACTGTGTGCATACAAGTATGATTCCGTAAACCATCAACAGTGATGCATAAACTAGAATTACCACCCTGTGGTTGTATGACTCCACCCACCAGCCCAGTGTCTCTGACAGTCTCCATCCATGTCAGTGAAAACATGGATGCTTCACACACAGAAGATCTATATAATCAGCACAGTTTCAAGATTAGAGTCACCAATTCAGAATCTGACCAAATGTCTCCCCTTCTCTTCCTGAGATATGACGTTAAAACATGATGATGTCACAGTCAAGATGACCTTTGACCTTTTGACCTTCATTATTTTATCCTGTCAGACATTTGTGTGTTGTCAGAATTAGCGTATGAATTCTTGAGTAATGGCCAAAAACATGTTTTGTGAGGTCATAGTGACCACAAAATTCTTATCAGTTTATTCTTCAGTCCAGGTGAACGTTTGTGCCAAATTTGAAGAAATTCCATTGTGGTGTTCTTGAGATATCATGTTCACAAGAATGAGACAGGTGAGGTCACACAGACCTTGACCTTTGACCACCACAAACTAGTCAGTTCATTGTTGAGTCCAAGTGAAAATGTGTGCCATATTTGAAGAAATTCCCTCGAGCTGTTCTTGAGATATTGTGTTCACAAGAATGAGATGGATGCAAGGTCACAGTGACCTTGACCTTTGACCCTTAAAACACCAACATCTAATCAGTTGATCCTCAAGTCCAAGTGAATGTTTGTGCAAAACTTGAAGAAATTCCCTCGTGGTGTTCTTGAGATATTGCGCTCAGGAGAATGAGACAGACAAGGTCACAGTGACCTTGACCTTTGACCCTTGACCATAAACAACAAATCACTTTCTCACTGAGTCCAAGTTGACATTTGTGCCAATTTTGAAGACATTCCCTTGAGGTGTTCTTGAGTTATTACATTCGCAAGCATGGGATGTACATATGGACAACATGAAAACATAATGCCTCGGACCCTGATATCACCAATGTGGAGGCAAAAAAAAAAACACCAGAATGGTCCTTTAAGGAGCTGCTTACACTGAACCAATAGAGCTGAAGTGTCCCATCACATCCTAAATTAAGTTTCTCAACCTTTAAATTGGTTTAAATGTGGTAATATAATATGTTCAAGCCCTGATATTTCAGTGACTGCTAAAGTTTTTCCAGGACCCCCCAACGCTTCAGTAAACAGCATCCAGACCTGCCAATCAAACATTCAGACAACCAAAGTGTGTGAAAATCTGTCGCCAGATTATGAGATTTATCACTAATAATTCCATAAGAGGATAAGATGCTCTTTGAGGTGGAGGGATCAATTTAACACTGATTATATTCATCAATCGGAGTCACTTTGATTCCATTGAATTCCTCATCACACTGCAGATTGCAACTGATGGTTGTCAGCAACTCTGCACATTTCTCTTATTGTCAACTGAACTATGAACTGATTCTAATAAGTTGGAATTAAAAGGCAACGGTGTGAGAATCAGGTTAAATAAATCTAATTCTCTGACTGCATTTTACAGAATGAAACATTAAAATTGAGAATTGTCTCCAAGCTTAAAAACAAGAAGCAAGATTTTATTTTTGGTTCAAGTGTTTAAGGGACAGTTCACCCCAAAATCAAAAACATATTTTTTCTCCTACCTGTCATTCTGTTTATCAGTCTACATAGTTTTGTTGTGAGTTGCAGTGTTGGAGTTACCGGACGTAGAGATGTCTGCCTTCTCTCCAATACAATGGAAACAGATGGCACTTGGCTTGTGGTGCTCAATGCACCAAGAAGTAAATTTGAAGAACAATAATGTCTCTTCCCAGAAATCATGACCCAGTTACTCAAGACAATCCAAAGAATTGTGAGCAGTTTCATTTAGGAACTACTTTCTTCCTACCTAACTACACCCGCCAGCCATATCACTGCTCCAGAATTTGTGGTTATATGCCACCGCGCACCAGTCAAGTTGCACTTAGAGTTTACATCCATGTCTGTAAAAACATAGATGCTTCACGGGTGAAATGATCCATCGATCTTGATCCATATATTGATTTAATGATTATTAATCAATATCATCATCTTTAGGTCAACCTTGCGTCTTTATTTTCAAATTCTGTGTCAATGTCAAACAGCAGCAGGCAGATGACAAGCAGCCGAAAGGAACACGATGAGAATAACTTTATTTTCTCTGGAATAAATTAGCAGCATGGAACATAATCGATTATGGAGAAAATACAGGTCAACAGACAGAGCACATGCCGAATGTAAACAATGATGTTACAAGATTAAACACGACGTAACAGATAGCCCTGACGTTTTGGGAAACAGATGATGGTTTGGGTTAAAATGAAAAGATTTCTTCCATAAAGGGTTACCTTATCCCATGTGCTGTTTTATCTGTGTTAGCGGAGTCAGTTTAAAGTAAGCGTTACTGCTCTTATTATTTATGAGTTGGTTTTATCTTTTATAGCCAAAAGTAAAAAAGAGGTGGGAGCTTCTTATGTAACTGATTGCATTAAATGGGCCCTCTCATATCTATTGCAGGCCCCTAAATCACATTGAATCGAAAATGTATCGTCGCAGACTTTGTACTATCAACAAATAACAAATCATTGTCCAGAAAATCAATATAATATTATTTCATGATGAAACTGGTGATTTACACAACCAGCACAGTTTCAAGATTAGAGTCACCAATTCAGTATCTGACCAAATGTCTCCCCTTCTGTTCCTGAGATATGACGTTAAAACATGATGATGTCACAGTCAAGCTGATCTTTGAACAGTTAGTATAAGTAAAAAACATTTTGACCTTTGACTGTCGACCACAAAATTCGAATCAGTTTATTCTTCAGTCCAAGTGAACGTTTGTGCCAAATTTGAAGAAATTCCATTGTGGTGTTCTTGAGATATCGGGCTCTAGTTTCCCGGCGCAGCGCAAGCGGTACAGGGTGGCGAACCCCGCGCAGAGCTACTTTCGAGCAGCGCAACCCGAGGCGCGCTCAGTTTGGTAGTTTGGCAGACCGAGGTGTGCTGAGATGGGTGTGGCGGTGCAGCAGGGGGAGGTGTCGACAGATCCGGCTTGGCGCAGTGACAGTTTCGTGCCAAAAGGCTTCGCCGAAGGTGTGCTAAAAGCTCGCCATCTGAAACCAGGTCTACTGTCAGCGCAGGGGGAGCGCAGCCGGTGTAAGCCGAAGTTTGGCTGACCGGCGGACAGTGCGCACACGTCACCAAAACCTCACAGGCAGGTTTCCAGAATATCAGGCACATTAACAATGCAATAAATAGCCACAAAACCACTATTCAATGCAACTATCTGCAATCAGCACATAAATGTATCTCTATATCGACTGTCCCGTCACATCTGATGTCAGATCAAAGGAGATCGGCACCGTTTGGCACGTTTGGCACGCGTAATGGAAACCCAACCTGATTTGATTAACACAGCTGCAAACTAATGAGTTCACATCCCTCTCAGCCAACCACAAACAGCCACATCATCAGATAGGGAGTATATATATTCAGCATCTGTCATCTTAGAAAAGTCAAAATAAAAGAGACAGAGTGAGACTGCGAGAGAGAAAGAGAGAGCGTGCGCACGAGAGAAACGCAACATTGATTTATAATTGTGGTGACCTCCTCCCAGGCTACCTTTGCATCATCAGCCTGTGGAGGTCTGCTCGCAGTTCCGTATATTCGGACACTGCGAGCTTGGACCTCCCGGACCAAAACATAAGTTTCCTCCTGGGAGGAGTTTGGCTGTGTGACGCTGCTGCTTTCTTCTGCCATGGCGAATTCAGTAAACTCTCATTACACCTTCGCGCGGCGCATTTAAGGGCGAGGAGAGGGGCTCGTTTGATTGGTGTGATGTGGGTAAAACCCACTCCACGCCTGCTCTCCTCCCTCTCTCCGACTTGTGCCGGTAGGAGGGACGGAGGTGGGAAAGAGGATTAGCTGCGCCAGGCGCACGGTGTGCCAAACTTACAAAATCCGCCAGGCCACACCCAGTTGGCTGCGCCAACTGGGCGAAACTAGAGCCCATCATGTTCACGAGAATGAGACAGGTGAAATGTCACAATAACCTTGACTTTTGACCGACATAATCTGACTCTTGATCAACTAATTTTAATCAGTTCATCCTTGAGTCCAAGTGGATGTTTGTGTCAAATTTGAGGGATTGCGACATAGCGTTTGCAAAAATGCGACAGACAAGATCACAGTGACCTTGACCTTTGACCACTAAAATCTCAACAGTTCATTGTTGTCTCCAAGTGGATGTTTAAAGAAGTTCCCTCAAGGGGTTCTTGAGATATTGCATTCTCAAGAACAGGACAGACGGATGTTCGGACGGACAACCTGAAAACATGATGCCTCTTGCCATGGCTATCACCGTCGCAGCGGCATAAAAACTCAACAGCAATGTCTCTTTCCAGAAATCATGACCCAGCAATTTGAGATAATCCACAGACTTTGTTCTACCAAACCCACCGACCGTATCACTGTGCAAAGGAAGTATGCATCTACTCATGGCTAAGACGCACATGCTCATGACAGCGTGTGATGTACACATTAATGGTGTCCTCTGAGCTGTAACGTTAGCTTGCTACATGAGCTAGCAGTAGATGTACTTTCCCTCTGTGCAGGGTTGGCGGGTGTAGTTAGGTTGAAAGAGAATAGTTCCTACATGCAACGTTGAGTTTTTATTAAATTTTCAATTGTATTTTTGGTGCTTTGAGCACAAGTCAAGTGACATCTAGTTCCATTATACTGGAGAGAGGGCAGACATCTCTACGCCTGATATCTCCAACACTCAACAACTCAGACCAAAACTATCCAGACTGATAGACAGCTCTACAAGTGAGATTTGTAGTTTTAATTTTTGGATGAACTGTCCCTTTAAGGTTAGATGTACTCACCTCTCCTGTTTGAGAGCGTACTCCAGCATCTTGATCCGCCTCACCAGGTCTTTCTTCAGGTTCTCCTGACCTCGCCTCTCCCCCTGCAGGAAGGCGATCTGAGCCTGCAGAGAACAGAGGGAACACTGAATGATGATGGACGGCAGGGAGAGCAGTGGAAGCCACATCTGAACTTTATTCTCTGACATCTTTTATCCCTCCAGTCATTAAGATTGGATCCCTGCTGTGTGTTTTCCATTAAACTCCAAAGTGCAGTTAATTGCATGAGGCAAAAAAACAGCAACACACAAAAGAAGCCGGGACTAACAGACAGCGTGGATGAGATTAAACAGAACCTCAGGGGGTCCATAAAAACATCTAATCTCCATTAAACATGATGATGATGATGATAATGATGATGATGATGAGAAACCAAAACAAAATCACTGAATCAACAAAGTCTGAATCATTTTTCTGTTGTCGTCTCTGTCGCTGTAATTATTTGCCTTGATGATCCTCTGTGCTTTACTTTCTCTGATCTTCGTCTCCGCTCTGTGACGATCTGACTCCCCCGCAAAGATCATTAAAGTTTTATCAAGTCTAATTCTGATTTCGTTTATCTCCACTTTGGTGCTCAGCTGCACCGCGGTCCCACAGAGGTTTGAGCAGCAGCAGTGGTGGTTTAGTGGATTTAGAAAATGGTGTGTGATTTCTCTGAGGGGAAGTGGTGTGAAGGACCATGAAGGCTAAAATAACTCCCCACAATCACAAAGCCCTCAACAGCACGGTCTTCATCTGCAATGTCACGATGTCCATTTCAATGTGTGGAGCATACAGATGGAAAATAAAAACAAGAAGGATGGACAGGATGGATCTGTCTCAGCGGTGGACTACAGAAGTGTATGCTAATACCACACTGTAACTTGAAAAGTGCACTCAGTAAAGGGCAGATCTCCACCTCCACCGCCAGCCGCGGTAGCTAATATGGGCCACTCTACAAAATACATCCAGTGGAAATGTCCCTCCTGGCTCCCTTACAGTCTAGATTGCAGCGCAGATAAAACTGTTTTTGTATTTTCCATCTTGTATCATGCCTAACTTTAGTGGATCATAACACATCGAGCACAAAGACTGTATAAAAAAGATGGACGAAATGACAACTTCCCAAATGTGAAGCCCAAACATCTCGATCGCCCTCTGATGGCAGATGGGACATGGGCCAGACCGAAAACCCAAAAGCATATGCCAAATAATTTTTTGGGAGAGAGTTACTGCCCCAAGCTAAGGAGGTCAAGTACCACGGGGTGTTGTTTATGAGTGAGGGTAGAATGGAGCATGAGATGGATCAGCGGTTTGGTGCGACGTCTGCAGTGATGCAGGCGCTGTGTCAGACCGTTATTGTGAAGAAGGAGCTGAGCCAGAAGGCAAAGCTTTAGATTTACTGGTCCATCTACGTCCCAACCCTCACCCATGGTCATGAGCTCTGGGTAGTGACTGAAAGAATGAGATCACAGATACAAGCAGTCGGAATGAGTTTCCTCTGTAGGGTGTCTGGGCTCAGCCTTAGAGATAGGGGGAGGAGTCAGACATCTGGAGGGAGCTCGGAGTAGAGCCGCTGCTCTTTTTACGTTGGAAAGGGGCAGTTGAGATGGTTCAACATACATACTTTGCTTGGCCTGCTGCCTCCACGACTCGGCCTTGAATCAGCGGTTAAAAATGGATGAATGGATGGAAATAAATCTGTTATTTTAGGAAGTCCTTACAATGCTGCTGTCTGTTTAAGTGTTCATTTTCTCATGAGTTTGGTTTTAATTATTTATTTGATACTATAAAAAGGCTGTTTGTCAACATGATTGACAGCTGTGTGTGCCAATCAGCGTGCTCGCAATCTGTGGCCCTGCCTGCTACTGGTTGGACCAGTGCAGGGGCGGGAAATCAACACTGCGGGGATCACTACTGCTCAGGGGCCTCATTTATAAAGCTTGCTTACGCACAAAACGGGGCTTGAAAGTGGCGTACGCCACTTTCCACGCAAAGGTTGTGATTTATAAAAATAAACTTGGCAGGAGAATGTGCGCACCTGTAAGCAAACTCTGAGTCATGCGTGCGCACATTTTGGAGACATTTTGGCGATGCAGACGGCGAGGTGGAGAAGTGGAGTCAGATTTTTATTGATGTCTCACACAAATTTAATGTCACGCTATATCCACCTTAGATCCACGTTATCATTGAAATTAAATCCAGCAGCCTTATTTTGTGCTTGCAGTGAGGGATAATTGTTTCATAAAAACGTTGTAAAATCCAACTCAAATCCTGAATTGAAATTCTTTCTAAATACGTATTTAATCTGCACTGCCTCTAACGTCTCATTGTCCACTCTGTGAGCGCAGGAGGGGGAGAGGACGGTGTGACTGCATGGAATATATTTATTTATTTAGCTAAATATTTCCAGTGCATTTATCATGTCTCGAAATACAGCCATTAAGCACAACCGTTACACTCATTTCATCAGCCCTACTTAGACATGTGCTGTTCATGACAAAACCGGCATGAAGAAACGTGTTCGCCTATTACACTTTCATCTTTGAATTGTATTTCAAATTACACGTTGTATTTTGGGACAGGGATACCACTGGTTCATGCTGTAATTCAGGCCGGGTGTCTGATCAGACTAATTGCCATAAACATATAAATACTGCGGTGACCCTCATGCGTAATTGCGCAAGATGGCACTGGCACATCCTCCTTTTTGCCTCCACCTTTAATAAATGTGATTCTTTATGTCGCACATCAATGTCAAACTTCCTCAAATTTAAAAGCAACACATTAACTACATGTTGGTAAAGGAGTAAAAATATTTGGTCTACCTTTAGATCAGACCACTTTTTTTTTTTGTTCTGTCACTGTCGGTGCAGTCCCACAGACACAGCTGACGGCATCAGCAGCGTTGATGTGTTGCCACTTTTCTCGCTTTCTTTTATTAGTGATCCCGCTGCTGTGGCCACCAAATAAAATCTTTCTTCGGTCCTCCACCTCCCGTTAAAGGGTCTCGAGCTCAGTCTCGGAGAAATTCCGTTTTTTGGTTTGTTTCTCACACCTGTCGCTTTGACTCACAACGAGAGAACACTCGCATGCCGGCTTATTTATATGCAGATCGCATTCATGAGGTGATTTGCATGACCATTTATGGTTGAACTAGGGCGTGTAGAGGGCGGAATATGAGGTGGATCTGGGTGTGCACAACTCCAGGAGGTCTGTGATTTATAAAGAGAACATTGCGTGCAAGTGTGCGTGTGCACGGTTTTATAAATCAGATTATTTTTTGGCGCATGCCATTTTCAGCTTTTGGGCGCACGTCAACTTTTAGTATGAATCCTACGCACTCTTTTATAAATGAGGCCCCAGGTCTGGCTTCACATGATGTCACCGGTGCAAGATGGCAGGGACCATATCCGGGATATTTTGTCTTCACTTTTGTACAGTGGGAGGAAGTTGAGACGCGTTGTTTATCTTTAAATACAGTTTACGATCGGGTGTGGAATTAATCTGCAGATGCTACAGTTCCAAATGAGACCAAACCTTTCCATGGATGTCAGTTTTTGCACCACGATGGAGTGAAATATGTCCTGCAGCAGACAGTAACACTTGTTTTTAGCCGAGCTGATTTCTGGAAAGCTCGCAACCCCTACCGGCCGGTTAAGAGCAGTCTGCAGTAAATGATAGCATAAAACGGGTACTTTATTTTTATCAATGCTCACTGTAACTATTTTAATTGAACATATATTTAAGTCGATGTTTCACGTTTATGTTTCACCTTCTGTTCTACATCTGCATGTATCTGAAAACGTGTCTCTGTTTCTCTCTGTTTTCCTCTCTGTTAAATTTATTTCTCATGCATGAATGTAAATGTTTACATATCTTGCGTACTGTAATTGCATTGTAAATTTCATATCTCTAAATAAACAAATCTTTACAAACAAAGAGGAGATTTGTCTTCTCTCAGGTCAGCAGGTATCTGAGGCTCCCAAAGCCTCCTGGGAAATGGGACAGGAACTGAAAGGAAACTTGTGACCAACTAACACGTCGTGTCTCTGCGTCTGATCTGTCTTAACGTCTCCTCTCAGACATGGCTGGACGTGAGGCAGCGACTCAGTGAGCAGCGTGGGAACAGACGACATGTGACCGACCTGGAGTCAAGGTCAAATAATGAGGGAGGAGGAGGTGAGCGCAGCAGAAACCCACAGCTGTAAACTTTGTGTCTAAGCATCTAAATGTTGGTTCAGTTCATACCGAGTCTTAATTTAGACACATGTAAAGGAAAAGTTTTCTGGTCTAAAACAATGAAATGACAGTTTGAAAATAAATAATAATAATAATAATAACAGCCTTCGTCCTTGACTGTTGTGAGCTGCAGGCTCTGTGTGCAGAGACCCAGCTGTTTCCCAGCAGGATCCATGACATCAGCGCTTACATCACCCCCCACCCCCCCCCACCCCCACCCCCCAACCCCTCTGCACCCCTGAGGTTCAACCCTCCTTTGCTTTACTGCTTCTCCTCCTCCTGCTCACACTGACAGTTGTTTGTGTGTACAGTCGCTACAAAAACCAGGTCAGCTGTTATATTTAATATGAGAGTTCACAACAAACAGTTCCAGCTGGCAAGAAAGCTGCGACGCTGCCATGCAGGACTGTTTACCTCTCTGTAATCTCTGTAAACAGATATCTGCACATGAATGCAGTGTCTGATGGCGACGGGACAAGACTCAGGTATCGGAAGTGTTCTGGTTTTAGTCTGTAGTCCGAGAGGTATCGATCAATCACATGTGAGCGTCACCTAAACAGACACACCTGAAACACTGAAATGTCGTCTCAGAACCCATCAGCTGTGATCTGATGATGATTTAGATTTATAATGTTTTTTGTAAGTCATATGCAGATACCAGTTTATAGAGATTGGCTGAAATGACCGGCACACGGAAGAGGCTTTATTGTAGTCAGATTGATAGCCGCTGGTTTCCAAGATTGACCCCTCATCCATATTATAATCAGCAGAGTTTCAAGATTAGAGTCACCAATTCAGTATCTGACCAAATGTCTCCCCTTCTGTTCCTGAGATATGACGTTAA